CAAGATAGCGAAAGCCTGCAGTCCGATGCATCATAGATGCCTCGAGGCGCGCCAACGTGTTGTCTTGGAGAGGGAGAAATCACAGACCAGCGAGGGAAAAAACTGGAACACGATCCAGAGGTGCAGATGAAGGCACCGATGGAAAATGGTGAAGGCCTGCAGTCCGATATATCATAGATACCAAAAGTAGAGAATGGAGCGTATAGTCAATTGTCACTGCAAATTATTCAGCATAGATGGGGCTTTTTTTGGGACCGGCTTGTAATCATAAATGCACATCAAACCCGGGTATTATGTTGAATTCCCTGTGGATGTTTTAGGTGTGAGTCAACCGCGGGATATTCCCCAGGCAGACTCCGATCAGAGAAAAAAAAGCACAATCCATCTGTTGTTGGAACCGATTTGGTGGCGTCGAAGTACGACATGAGGCAAGTCGGGATTTCGTACAAATACTTATCATTCCGGAGCCAAACAAAACTAGTTCCGGCTTTGTACATTGTACGGTCTCAGCCTCTCAGGCATGTACATGAATGGATAAAGAGTACTAGAATAGCCGCAGAGATGTTGAGGCGTCTGGCATACTCCACAATCTGGGGCACGACTTCCTTGCGGGAGAAGAAACCCGATTTGACGGATAAATGCTTCTCGCGTACCACGCCGATAGATGGCAAGGGTGACTACATTGAACGCCATCAGTACACAATGATTACGCCCGCACTTGCCGCGGGTGCCTGCATTTCTGGAAACTTCTCGTGTCTCAAACCATAAAGGTGAATGATCCATCGTGGCTGGAGGCGTCTTAATTTGAATAAAGGCACATCACCTTGTTTTGTGCAGTTTCTGCGGCAGATAATAGTCCAAGGATGCGCGGAAAGGGATTCAATTGGGACAGGGAGCAAAACGATGCATACGTGTGTTCAGAGAAAAAAAGGGGAGGAAGCCAGTGAACCCTGCATGCATGCAAGATCCAGCTATGATGTCGAAAGATGATGAAGCATAATGCAGCTTTAGGCTTGGATGTAATGGCCTCGAAAAGAATTTTTTTCAACGGAATGTTCGATGGTAAACTCTGATTGCGATGTTCTCCACCTTCAAAATGAACTGGACAAATCTCAAGTTAGTTCCAAGTTATATGCGCATCCGATGAAGAAACACACCTTCTAAGAAAACATATAACACTTAGGGTGTAAACATGCATGGTCGAACACATTGCATGGACAAGCACGCAAAGTATTGGTTTAGGGTCTTGAATGTTCGCAATACTAAAGCAGCGAATCCCTGAAGTATAATTAGGCACATCAATTTAATGAAACCTAAATCTTCCCTCAATGGACAGCAGGCGGTCTAAACGGTCTACGAACTTCAATCGGCGGTCAAGTTGTAAATTCGTGACTCACCTTATCTCAAACATGAGAGCTTGTTTTTAAGTTTCCTACTATTAGTATCAGAACCTGTCCGCACGTGCTGGTTGTGTCAGTGTATTCGACAGACCACTTTATCTCAAACATACAAGAACCAGATTTACCAAAGTTCCAGCCCCTAGCCAGACCTTCATAGACGAAGGAAGAGTCTTTCTAATCCCGTACTTACATAAAATTATACATACTGAGTGAGACGTTTATAGATAGGATTTGTCAGCCAGCCAGATCACTGGAAGGAAGTGGAACACAACTAACGCAATGCATTGTACCGGGTCGCTCTCTGGCACGTCCGGCCAAACTGAAAGTGAAGGTAAATCTTTAGGGTTTTTCATGGGAAGCAAGGTCTCATCTGTTGGGCGTTAGTGAAACCAAATTTGGTCCTCCGCATCACTCCCATAGACGTGGATGCTACCTTGGAGCTCCGCCAGTCGGTTTTATGGCCCAGTCTTTCAATCGCAGATGTTCGTCTCGCTGAAGATGATAATGGCCTTCATTTTGGAGCCTTCGTGCCACAGTACAAAAAGCCCATCGCCGTCATCTCGTTATTTGACGAACCCTTGCCGGGACAACACTTTGTGATATGTGGGAATGATAGCCCTTCCCAGAGAAAGTCTGCGCGCTTTCGTAAATTTGCCTGCGGTCCGATGCACCAGAATCAAGGCATAGGGTCCCAGTTGCTTCAACATGCGGCTGAGGCAGCTCGATCGACGCTAGGCGCAAGCATCATTTGGTGCGATGCCCGGACATCAAGTAGTACCTGGTATAAGAAACGTGGAATGATCGAATTTGGTGACACATTCTACAAGGGAGATGTGAAGTATATCCGGATGAAGATGTCCTTGGACGCAGATACTTGCAAGACTAGTGCGTATAACGTCATTTAGATGTGCGACAGCGCCGGGCCGTGACTAAATGATAAGCACACTTGGGTGCGCCGTGTTCTCCGCATCGATATACAAGTGATGAACTCACGTTGACAACTATTGTCAGAAAGCTCGTGTCTGTGATAACTGCCAGCCAGCACGTTAGGCTCCTTGTTTTCATTAGATATCTTTGTCTTTTCGTGACGAACGGAGGCATAGCATAGACCCAAGCTTCCCTCTGCATGATCATCCCGTATACCGGATCAAGCTTGACCTTCTGGCTAGCTCCGCCGTGTAATATTGGAAGATCTTACCTCATTTTGTGCCGGCCGGTTGGGTCACCCGATGGCTTAGGACAGATACTGAAAAGCTCCACGCGTCTCGCACCAAGCGCTTCTATAGGCTTCTGTCCGTCAGAAAATATCTCTTTTTGGGGGGCGATCTGGTGGACTATTAAGCTTTCATAGACAAAGCAAATAACGTTGCAGAGCCACCCAACTTTCAGGTATACTGCGCCTGTAATTCGCGCGTACTCACTGCCTGGGACCAGTACTGTGATAATGTTCAGCATGCCTGACCATTTTTGGCATGACCCTGTGGATTCTAGCTTTGGAGGTGCTGCATTCGGCGAGCAACGTGTTCAACCCAAGTAAGTATTCGCCGTTGCCACGAGGTGTCTGATCAACTATCTCATGCAATACTACAGCAGACGGCAGTTTAGCTGATCTAAGCATGGAATTATACTAGTGGCAAGCCAGGGTCACTCGTACAATGTCGGTATCCGTGTGACTTTCGTATAGAAGGATCGACCAATCTTCATCTATGCACAGACACGGGGAGACTAGTACTAGGTTGGCAGTTCGGATCAAAATAAACAAAAGAGAACTAGTGTCAGCAGTGGCCCTGAGTTTTCTTTTGCCTTATGACGACGTGCGGCTTTTGTATTCGCGATAAACGGGTGTCAGCGTGGCCGTCGGCTGTGCCGTTAAGGGACGGTACTTCCTCTTAATATCACAAAACTCAGATTGTTGACGGGTTGATATCGATACCTGCCGTTTGTTTTCCTTATGCGTCAGTGCAATCTCGATCTTTCCGACAGAGCGTCAGAGTGTCAGCTGATAATTGTGTTTTGTGTAAAGTAATTGTTCGTGACGATGGGAGGAACGCAAGTTCGGATAGACACTGCGCCCACGAGATATCAAGCTGTGATATTTTGGCATATATAAGAACTTCTGATGCTGGGGCAACACTATTTCATCACCCCGTTTCTTACTTGTTCACGTATTCCTTGGCAACTGGTGCTTGCTACAAGTGCGACGGTCTGCCGTGCCCCTCCGATTCTATTGTGTTCTATGAGTCCAAATCTTATGGGTGTCATCTTCGTTCAAATTTGTCACGCCTGGATTTGGTTCATAGCCAATACAGTAGACCGGAGGTCACGCCCTCCTTTGCATTTCATGTTCACCAATTGTCCTCATTTTTTTCTGGTCTACTGCTGTGTATGACCCAACGCGCACGCAACCTTAGCTTGACACGAATATTTTTCTGCCATCCCCCTTCATTTTCTAACAAATGCTCTACCAACAAGTGATCCTCGGAGTACATATATGCATGAATTATATCTCCGAGCTTTTAGGCTTTTTATTTCCTCTCCACCCCATACTCCTCATACGGACATCCTCCATGCCAATCGGTACTATCGACCTCGGAGGACCTCGGCTCGCCACGGATCACTTGTACCCATTATTCGGTCATAAGATCAAGATGAGGAGCATAGAAGCTCAGGGAGGCTCCGATGGGCGGCCTTGACGCCTCTTGACGAATTCAGCCATTCTCTCTGATTCTTCTAATCCGAGCTTTCGATCTCTATTCCCAAATAGCCTCGTAATTTGTAGATTCAAGAGCTTGTGAGTCATCTTCCATTCTTTGAGAAGAACTTCTTACCACATCAGATTTCGATTGTTTCCTCGTTCGGAAGAACTTCGTCCACGAGGAGCGGTAGTTTCAATGAGATATATAAGGACCTCTTATGATAGTCTCATTGATGGCTGCCTCGGCCAAGAATAAGAGGGGAGTATGATATTTATGACCCCGTTTGGAGGTGGACGACGTGGTAGCCCTAAAAATCATAAAATCTGATCTGGTAGGTAGAGGTTATGTGGAGTAAAAGCATCAGTCTGACTCTGGCGTCTCCAGAATGAGCTGATGTGAAATACCAGGCTGCGGGAATTCTGGAAGATCAACAACTGTGAGTTCTTGGAGATTATTGGGCGTTGTCCGGGGGCAGTCCTTGGCAGTCCTCGGTAAGGATTATTGGGCGTCCAAGTATGTAATGCTGTACGTTGATATGTGCCCAAAGTTTACCAAAGTCCGAAGGCTGTTCCAAGGGCGATATCGAAGTAGAAGATGTGATCATCATGACGTCGCTATGGATCGGCGACACTTCACACCCTTCACAGGAAAGTAGCGAGATATCGATCATATCGAGGATGATAGTATCATCCTTGCACACTCGGAATGGACCGACAGGTCAACATACCTATAAACAGACCCACGAGGCTGGCCATGGGGAGAACAGTAACGGCATTTCCACAAACCTCACAAGTCGGTCCGAGTGTATCCGCTGGAAACATAGAATCAAGTAACGGATGGCATTCACAGCGGAAAAAAATACAAGAATCAACACCAGAAACCACGTGCGGGGTATCCATCGATGTCATTTCAAAAGCTCTTCTACAATCCTATCTTCCGAAATATTGGCAACGTTCGCGCCACGGTAATTCAGTCTCCGAAGAACGTCGATCTGGGTAAGGCATCAGCACTAGTACCGTCACGAATATAAAAAAACAGCTTTTCTGAGACGTACTACTTTTGAGCGCTCGAAACCAAGACTCTCGAACTGATCTACATGGGCTTTTTCAAGACCCGCTATTGCGATCTCATCTCTTTGTGGCTCCTTCACTTCCATCTTCTTGACTAAAGGCCCTCCGGCATATATCTGTGTCCAGTACCTTGCTGTCTCGTCAAAGCTTCGCTTGCTAGTGGTGTAGTGCTTCGCAACCTCCGCATCTTGCGGATCATTAGGCTCAGGAGAACACAGCAGCGATTGAAGCGAGATCAGCGTTGATTTGAGCGTCAGAACAGGCGACCACGCGTCCTTGAGGATGTCAAGACAGATAGCTCCGGATGCCGATGATATGTTTGGATGATACACTTTCGTGATGAATTTCATCTTGACAGGTTGGAACGGATATGAGTCGGGGATGACGATATCCTATTACGCGGATTAAGAGTACTGATTAGGCTAGACAAGAAATCAACGATGCGCACCACCTCAAAGTGACCACCTTCATATGGCGTGTCTTGAGGGCCGGGGAAAGATCCCTTGAGGTGAAATGGTGATGAATCCATTAGGTCGATTTTGATGTTTGAAGATTTATCGTTCTTGCAGTCTGACCAGGGGTGAGAGTGAGAATGAGCGATGCTACATCAATAACAATTAATTCCTACCAGCTATTTCCTTATTCACGCGGCGGAGACGAGCGTCCATGATGTACAAAAACAAGAAGACTATTAAGCTTAGGACTACAAGAGATGGTCGGTGAGTAGACTGTGGAACGGAATGAGAGAACCTCATGTAAGGGTCACGTGACTTTATCAATTTAATCAGCGACCGTCTACCAAGGGCCCCGGGGGTCTGTTGTCCTTATTGCTGGCGCCACGTGTTGATCGCTGTCATTAAGGATTGATGAAGGATAGATCATCCCTTCAAGCATCTCTTGTATACAGGTATTGTAGTCTGGATCCTATAAATCAAGATGGAGACCCCTACCATGCGCCAGCGTTTCGAAGAATATATCTTCGGCCTCCAAGAGGAGATCATTACTTCCTTTGAAACGCTTGATCCCAATGCTCCAAAATTCAAGCGTGACTCTTGGTTACGAGCACATCAGGGCGGAAAGGGTGTATCAGGCGTCTTCTTCGCTCCTCCTCCCACAGATGCATCACCCGGACCACAAACAATCCTAGAGAAAGCTGGTGTCAACATATCTGTCGTACATGGCATGCTCCCCCCTGCCGCAATCAAAGAAATGCGTGCAGATCACTCCTCCATCCCGTACGACGAAAAAACTAGTCTTCCATTTTTTGCGGCTGGAATAAGCCTCGTCGTGCATCCTCGCAATCCCCATGCTCCCACTGTGCACGCCAATTATCGGTATTTCGAGATCTCGGAGAAAGCCTCGGAGGGTGAGGGAACTGGCAAGGTTGTTGCATGGTGGTTCGGAGGAGGCTCTGATCTCACGCCATCGTACCTCTACGATGAAGATGCACGTCACTTCCATACGACGTTGCAAAATGCCTGCAACCAACATGGCAGCGAACTATACCCTGTGTTCAAGAAGTGGTGTGACGAATATTTCTATATTGTCCACCGTCAAGAAACTAGAGGGGTCGGAGGTCTCTTCTTTGACGATCTCAGCACTGAGAAGCATGCTCGGCTCTCAGATGACGTCAAACGACCTCGATCGTCAGAGGAGATCTTTGACTTCATAAAAGCAGTGGGAAATTCGTTTGTCCCCTCCTACTTGCCCATTCTTGAGCGTAGGATGTCGATGCCGAGCACCGACCAACAAAGACGCTGGCAGCTGTTACGCAGGGGGCGTTACGTCGAATTCAACCTTGTGTACGACAGAGGCACAAAGTTTGGGTTGAAAACGCCTTCTGCGCGTATTGAAAGCATCTTGATGAGCCTTCCGGAGACTGCAAGGTGGGAGTATATGACGGACATGGGATCAGACCTGGAGAGTGAGGAAGGGCGGTTGATGGCAGTTTTGAAACAGCCCATCGATTGGGCTGGGTTGGAGAATTTGTAGAACTTGTAGCGCTGGCGCTGATTTTTCAGCGGGCTTGTACGTAGGTACTCCAGCGCAAAATTTAAATGTAACGGCCAGAATAGCGATATCCAGTGTTTTTCAAGTGTCAAGAAAGATCGGTAGGCATTGATATTACAAAATCGTTCTACTAGAAATAATGCATATCCACTCCGAAGTCGAGGAAGGTACAATGTCTATAAAGCAGGCTTGGAACTTATGTAGGCTTGTTGATCTCTTGCTGCGTCTGACCCTTCTCGTTCTTAATGTTCCCTGATAAACGAACTATCAGGACACAGTCAGCCACCAGTCCTGCGAATATTACCTACCACTTGTCTGCTGGGCTTTATCGCCAGTCACAGCGCCGACGACTGAATCCTTGTAGCCAGGTAACACTGTCAGAAACACCCTCCACGTATCCCTTGGCTTGGGCGGCGTTGTACTCGCCCTCCCCCTTGGCATGTTCTTCTTTACCCGACTGCGACCAAGATTGCAACCCGGTCATGTCGCCGATCTAGAGAAGAAAATTAGCAGGTCGGCGGGGTGTAGTGCGACGAGTTCGTACTGTCTCGACGGCGGTACCCTTGACAGAGTGGAATTGACCAGATACTTTGCTATAGGACGATGCGTGAGTTTTGGTCATTGAGAGAGGGGGCGGACAAAGCGCTTACCTGGGCTCTTGGGAAGACATATTTGCGATGAGAGTATGAGTTGATAGCGCGTTAATAGAAGGTTGGTTGTAAGATGCTGGTAGGAAGGATAGTTTAGCGTCCTACTTATACTCCTCCAGATGGCGTACAAAAAAGGCAAGTGTAGTTCTTACCGTATGACGTCAAGCAGTCATGACATCATACGGTTTGGAATATGTTGAGTAATTCTATGGAGATCATGTTAATGCACGTGAATTCAAGTATTGACCGACCGAGCTCCACATCTCATCATATCCGATTCGGACCCTGGGGTTTATACACGAGCCAAGAAGGTTTTGAAGGGTGCTGCCGCGCTACAGCTCCTTGAGCAGAATGGTAGTTGCTAATTTCTACAAAAAGAAAATCCAATCAAAACTAGATTATATGATTCCCGTGTTCAAAGCACAAAACCTCGGAGGAGAGCTCCAACTAGGCATCCGCAATTCTCACGTGAGGACATGAAAGCTCACCATGTACTCCAAGTGACGAAAAATGACACTTGTCACCGTTTTAGATTCGATGCAGCAACCAAAAACCGCTGAGGTGGTGCAGGCTATACGTCATTACGTCATCCGCAGAAGTCGGTTTGAATGCGTAGCCTTGCGCGATGCATAGCAGTTCTGTACCTTATCAAGAAGTCACCCATAGGACGGCTGCCTGCAATGGAAAATATTCCAAGATTAGAACATATTTCGTCATCGTCATCGATCGTGATAGCACCATTGTCCGCTATCATGAAAAAAATAAGGCCTTGGCAGTGGAAACAACCAGTGCACACGCACCTTCATTGCAATGGAGAATAATTATAGGCAGCATACTCATTCATGGGCATGGATGAAAAGTAGATTTAGACCGCTCGGCAAGCCCTCGATGCACCGTTCGAAAGAAGCCGACACATTGTGCAAGTGGCTGTAAGATGAAGCCCACCTAAGTATTGAAAATAGTGAATCTATTCATGTGGAACAAACTAAGTCATGAGGCGAGCTACTATAAAGTCCGGTTATCACAAGATGCTAGAGAGAGCTGTGACATGAGAATCAATCGCAGGTGCACATCATACGGCGAACTCACACACCAGTACGACACAAAATCCTATCATTCAAGCTTCTCAAGTTCCTCCAACCTCGATAATACCACATCCTTGCTGGTCTCTTCAATCTCTCCCGCCAAAAATATCTCGTCTAAAATGGCGTACACCTGTAATTCATCAGTCAGGGGCAATGCGTACGAAGGATAAACACAACAGCACCTTATAGAAATTGAATACAAGATCCAGCTCACACACATTGTCGAAGAATGAGTCTGAATCAATGTCAGCGAGCAAGCTCAGCCCATGGGATGCGAATGAGTCATTCACCAAGGATCTCGACAAACAGGTGGATAGCCTCTAGGTATGCCAGCTCATTGTCATTAGCGTCTACACATACGCAAAAGAAGAGACCGGCATAACGCCTGTATACGATCTTGTAATTCTTGAACTACTCCACGTCATAAGAATTAGAAGATGCGTGATATATCATTCTGTCCTCACCTCGACAAAGTTCGACTGGTGTTTCTGGTCGCGCGGAGCAACTAGTCTGTGCACTTCACCTCGGAGCCTGACCTTAGTACATAGTTAACGGCATGGAAATTCTTAACGGTGTCCATCGTACCTTCTCGTCGTCGTCGTACGGGACATACCACTTCGACAATCGTGTCTTCCCTTGACGGTTCTGAGCGCATATCATTTGAGAAATGGTCTTTCATGCTGAAGAGTGCACCTGCCTGCACGAGGATGAACCTAATCATGGTGGCTCATTTGCCTTGGATGAATTCTCGATCTCACACCTTTGTTTACTTCAGAGGCCTTTGCCAAACAACGACGCAAAAGGCGTGCACGTGGCTTTAACTTGACCACGATCTTTCAATTTGCAGTCCATTCCCAAAATCAAGTAACTAGAAACACATGTATGTCTGAAAGTATAACAAAGGAACCCGAGATGTATGTCGGAGAGATATAAAAGTATTTGACACCCCTCAACTTAATGCTGAGACATCTGCGCCAAATAATCTGAAAGCTAAATTGTATAGTAAGCACTAGCCACGCGCAAGGAGAATATTAAGATAGTCACCTTCAGTGCACCAGTTCGAATGTTCTCCCCGACGTTCTGGACGTCAGGGTTCGCCATGACCCTTGCCACGATATCTCTCGCTGCAACTTCGAGATTCGAAAGATTGCCATCGCCCAACATCCCACCATCTGAACTAGCACGCTCGAACTCTTCTTCTTCGTCCCGACCAAAGTATTGGTTAGAGGAGATCGACGTGGCACCTTGGAAGTTCTGTAGACGAGACTGGGACTCGGAGACAAAATTAGGGTCGTAGTCCTTTCGGCCAAAGTACATATCAGACGAGATAGCTTTTTGGTTGCCAAACTTGTCTCGCGCGGTGGTTGGTGCGTCATCGATTGCAGGACTGCGCAATTAGAAGATAGATCAATTCCACTGAATGTCCAGTTGAGATCAGGATATACCTTGATCTCGCAGTGGATGAAGGTGAAGCGGTGGGAACTCCCCCAAAACCAAGCTTACGGAAGCCCATGCCTAACCTCTCAAGGTCTTGGCTGTTGCCCTTCTGCAAGTCAACTTTGCCTTGCACCGTGCTCGTTTGCACAGCATCAGCAGACTTTACCCTCGCTTGTGATGCAGTCACTTTTTCTGCCTCTTTCTGTGCGCGCTCTTCCTCCTCCTCACGTTGTCTGTCATAGCCAAGCTTCTTGATACGTTCAGCTTCCTCTGTAGCTTTGCGTTCTGCTTCTGCAAAATCTATGGGCGTGGCTGCTTTTCTCGCGCCAAGGCCACCAAGTTTGGATTTCTTCTGAAAGGTAGAGGTAGCTGAAGAACCGATCGCAGAAGTAGATGACGTCAAACGCGTTGCACCGAGTCTAGCGGCACCGTTTGTAGAGGTACTAGAGTTCGATCGCATGGAACTGGACGTGGTCGGTCGAGAAGCAACTGAGCCCGTCGACGCCGGCCGCCCAATGATAGGAGGAGATGTGAGAGTCGAGGAAGATGTTGTTTTCGGAGCGGCGGGCTTTTCCCATGAAGAGAAGAAATCTTCCTCTCCTTGCGCAGCTTCAGCACTCACAGGGGAGGTATCGACACCATCAACCACGATACGTGTTGGGAATCTGAAAGAAACAATGAGATTAAATTCCTGTCAAGCGTCTCGACAATTCACTTTGCAACGTCTTCTTTCACTCGTCTTGCAAGTTCTTCCTTGTATAGCTCAGCAGCACGACTTGAATACTTCTTCTTGGTGTCGGAATCGCTGAGAAGTGTCGTGGCGCCATGTCGCGTAAAAAAATCGGTCGCCGATGCGTTGCCACCTACTTTCATGGTACGAAGCTGGTTTAGCTGCCAGCTGTCGAGATTCGTTGATCTGCCATACCGCCCCCGGTGATAAGAACCCGCGAGGATTTCAGTTTATAGAACAACCACACACCGTACAAAACTTATGTGTACGCCCATATTCCGATGAACACTAGAGCAGTCTAGGCAGATATACACTCCAAAAGTCACACTGGACCAGGTCGGATTCCGAGCATGACAATCAAAGCACATCTACAACCCCGGAGGTCAACAATTGTAACTATAACGAGTGGGCTGAAATAAACTGACCTTGTTGCCTTTCTGCAATCTCAACACTTGAAAGATCTGCTCTGATTCTGCCTTTGAAGGGTCCGTCATTGCTGCTACAAGCAAACTGATCAGTGAGCTTAATTGTCCGTCGTGGAGAAGTTGAGTGCTTGTGAAGACGTATTAGGCGTTCTGGGGTCCTCAGAATCTAATGTGGTGACTGAGGTCCGCTTGACCTATGTGACAGAATTCAGAAAACCCTTTGGCCTGAACTTGAACAACTGAGGCTTGCCCTGTCTCCTCTAGCACGTGTATCTTGCTTTCTTCTTGCATATCCTGGCGCTGAGTACTGAGTGACCGTGAAACTGCGAATTCATTAGGTTTCCATCCTACTAACTTACTAGGTTCAACCTATGCTGCGACTACGCAATCCAATATTAATCATGCGGTGTCATCCGTGCTCCCGTTTCTTAAGTTGATATCGTTACCAATGACGCTGCCATATGCTCTCCCACGTGGAGCTACTTGTGGGCTCTCAAGTACTGGCAGTGAGCAATTGTACGGCCAGAAGTGAAACTTGACTCTCGGCTACCAAACATCATCATCTTACCTGTAATATAGTTCTCCTTGTTGCTCCTGATCAAGAGGAGCTCAATGTCGACAACGAGGTTGTCGAGCACAATGCTCCTCAAAACGATGCTTGAGGGTGTGCCTCTTTTGACGTCACCACTCATAAAATGTTCATTTCAGGCTACTGAGACCCTGTTCAACCTAAGATCCCTTTGCCTGATGCTTCATTCAGGGTGTTGAAGAAGGTTAGCAATTTGTCGATCCACTTCTTGTTGATATAGCTAGAACCAAATTTTAACGTTTTTTCGGTGCACAGGTCAGGGAATTTTGCAAATACTACAAGAACGATGCGTGTCCCACTGCCAGGAACCGGCGTGATACCCCCAGGCTAACTAGCATCAGTGAATGGAACCAAAACTCTATCACTGCCGACCAAGATATGCTTTTCGAGATAATCTTGCCTGCAAATTATCTTCAGATCACGTTACTCTTCTGTTTCGCAAAGTTGATGCTGGAACAACGCCGCTCCCGCTTTTAAGTTTCCAGACGATTTCAGATGTCAAACAGTTGTCAACAGGACTAAGAGAAGCACCCCTGAAAAACTGTGTAATTTCTTGGCTTCTCAACGAATCGACTGCGGAGATATGCCCCGTTGGTGGTACACTATAATCAACTTATGATATCCTTGCAGTTGCGACCAGGTCCTAACTGAGATACACTAATCCTGCTTCATCAGTTTGCTCACAAGGTAAGCTTGGCTACAGGTGTTACATGAATAGTCCAAGTCCAAACGTAGCACCCGTCTCTCAGAACACGCAGCAGAAACTCAAGCGCGGAAATTCCGAATTTGACTAAGTCACCTTGCGATACCCTCTCTGACTCCCAGGTCCAGCACGTTCAGATCCGACTAAAACGTTATGCACATGAAGAGTCACCAGTCTCTTCGCATTATTCAAACTCCACTCCATGAACGGCACCGAACAAGCATGGGGGCGTCAGGGCCATGTATTTGCCGGTCGACATGTCAGAGATGGAGGTGCATGCGCGGATCGCGAGGATGATGAACTGGAAACTGCGTTATGGTTGGGTGGAGGGGGGTTGTAAGTAGGGATGCGCAGCAGGGTTTGAGGGACGTACTCTTACAGCATGCCGTTTCACGCGTACTTAGCGTGCGTAAAATCGATAGCTCAGTCTTGGGGATAGGAGGTGCGGGTATACTCACCGGGCGGAGCGGGGATGTGAGCACATTCACCACCGAGAAAACTTTCGGGGAAATAATGATCATCGATGAGTGTAGTGAGTGATAATAAAATGACAAGGAGAATGCGAGAGCACATACATAGTGCGTTGTAGTAGCGGTAAAGAAAACGCCGACGGATGCTACAATGACAGCCTGACTGATACATCTACCAAGAACTTGGGATGCAGTGAGAAAGAACTCAAAATAAAGGCGGTCACCATGGTGGCGAGCACAAATGTGTTGTTGTTCCGGAGTGCATGTCCTGATAATAAAAAATCCTAGATGAATCGGACGAGGGACGCGCATAATTTGGGAAGGAGTGTTACATTCAGAGCAAATGACCGTAACTAGATCGAAACCTGTGAGAGGGAATAGCAGCGCTCGGCAACGACGTGCATGCAGGGACTATGCATGTATACGAGCAAATATCGTTGATCATTTGCAAGGCATTTCTGGCAATACCATGCAGTGAACGTCATTCAGTCATGATCAGTAAGTCCACCTCGATATTCCATACATCTGGATTATCATGCGGGGACGAAGTTCACTGAAGTACATGTCGATTTATCAATGATGTGTGCTGAAGTTGATAGATGTCCAACGAAGAGGAGAAAAGGTGTAAGGATATAACAGGCATTTCTATCGAAATCGTGTCGTAAGTGTTATTGTTCGATCAGTAGGTCCACCATGCGTTCACGTACATCGGAGTTTTAGGATTTCACGCGCGAGGCATATATATTTGCCTCTCATCTAAGTGAGCTAGAAGCCGAGCAAGATGAGGGCGCAATGAGTGCGCCATTCCAGGCTGAAAGTATGGTCTTCATGAGGCCATTGGAAGCAGATTCTGAAAACAATATAACGTGAATCCAGTTCGAGGCATGCTATACTGCATTTGGAGACAATTGTGGGTGTCTGTCATACAAGGGTCTTGATGGCGGTGTTCGAACGTTTCACCTGCCTGAAAGTGGATGGACGACGTCTCCGCTAGGCGCTTACTTGATCCGGACGGTGACAAACAAAGTGATGAATGATGATGGGAAACGTATCTGGAGAGATTATTAACACATCTCAGATGCGGCATGCCAGGTCAAATATCTGCGATGCATGCCACAATCAAGGAACTCGGTGGTTGGAATACATATGCGCTCCGTAGAGGTCTTATAATTTCTTATGCAAGTTCAAGGTATCTTTCAACTGCAAGGCTTGATTAACGCATGGGGTGAAAGATAGTTCGTCATTGCCTACCTTCCCAGTTCGTCACTGCCGCATTCCAAAGCCTCACCTCATGCTCTCTCGTTGCTCCGAAGTGGTCCACAAAGTCATCTCCAAACACTTCGCGCGCAATGCTGTCAGGCCTCATCATAGCGTTGGTCGCATCCGCCAACGAACCAGGAAGCAAAATAACCTATTCGCAAATAGTTAGCGTTACGATACTGCAAGATCATCTGCTAGTTCACCTCCTTCCTGGCTGGGTAGCTTTGGTAAGCGGAGATGGGTGGCGTCGTGAGCTTGAGTTGTTTAGCAATGCCCCGCATACCCAGTCGAAAGATGGCACTCAAAGCAAAGTAGGGATTCATGTCGGCACCAGGTACACGAACTTCAAGTCTTGTTGCGGATGGCGGAACAGACGGTGGCGAGATGATGCGGACGGAAGCCGCACGAGAATCGTACCCGTATGTGACTGCATTAGGAGCCCAAAAGGCTTCACCGCCAACGAGACGTTTGTAGCCATTGATCGTTGGGACAAGCTACTAAGTTTTTAGATAAAAATCACATTAGTGAGACTCGGGCGCTCACCATAGGCATTACTACATCATGAGTCTGGGATTAATATACATCTTAACCGAACGTGAAATCAGTCCTACCATCAGGAAGACCGTCCAATACACCGGCCAAAAAGTACTCCCCAATTTGACTTAGATATCTTGTGTCCTCGAACGCTGCATTAGCTCGTCCGCGATCACGATCCACATCTGAAAGCGAGAACGCATTGTGGCCTTCTCCGTCTTTAAGTGATACGTGTACATGTCTGAGCTGATGTCAGAAGGGATTTAGACACAAAATGAGAAATCAATGCAAACCCGCTGCAGCCTGGTAGCTGAAGCAACGTTTCCATGAGATTTTAAGAGATTCTACTAAAATTCGACTCACGTTTCCCCATGGTTTCGCCATAAAACTGGGGAGGACCCCATGCTTCAGCCCTACACTCTTCGCCAAGAACTTGTACAGGATAGCATTGTCCGCTATTCTCATAGCTGATGTATAAGCGAGCGCGGTCTCAAGGACACCCGGACCCGTTTCGGTGTCTGCGCAGGAGTCAGCCTTCATCAATGTTACAGTGGATAGATCGTCATACGATGTCCTTCGATATCTATACCAAACTTCAGACTCTCATCGAACAGCGCATGAAAATATTCTTGGTTCAGTTGAGTGCGCAGTAAGCTATATCCATGCACTGTGGTGATCTCTAATCAACAAATATGCAAAAAAACTGCTACTTTGCTTACTTCCTGGGGTTAATGGCTGCAGCTGAGTGAAGCACTTTTGAGCTGCGGACTCAGGGGTCTCTGGATAAATCCATTTGAATCACATCTTGTAGACAAGAAATTTTACCGGACGCACCTTTGAAATTAAAGTACTAGAAAGCCTCATGAGTCCATTCAGAGCAACACATAACTGGCTGAGATTGCTCACCTCAAACTCCACACCAGAAATGCATTCCATACCATGGGCAGCCGCATTGTCGACAGCTTTGCGCAGAACGCCTCTGGGATCCGCACAAATGGGCGCTGAAGTCTTCGGATCAAAGAATGAGACAAGGAAAAAAGGTACGTTATTTTCCCAAGGTATGCGACGAAATGTCGATAAGTCTATCGAGGCTATTAGGTCTCGGTAACCGTTCTCCTTATTTGATATGGCCAGTTCCCGAGTGTAGACTGAATCGTGCATGTCCCAGCCACTGCAACGTAACTTGTATCATGACAGCGAATCGGGGTGGCAATGAGACGTACAAAATCACGCTACAAAATCCAAACCCTTCTGAGGCAGCGGCACCTAGAAACTTATCTTTGGACTGTGGGTGACAAATCAAACATTGACGAGGATGGATTTAGTAAGAAGCATACCATGAACTTTCCTCTAAGGACGCCATCCACTTGAGATGGAAGTCAGCATTCGACTTATTCAAGGGTCAGCAGGCAGGGGATGCACCATCTATGCCTGTAGGGTAATAAATAAGTACCGTTGTGAACATCAAGTTATCACATTTTGCAATCATAACCGACCTGCAACTTTAACCTTGACATCATCGCAAAGTAGTTGCTTCAGGTCATCAATTGACTTTGGAGCTCCTGGAGTGACACTCGTAGCGGCCATATCTCAAGTGGTTGAGGTGATTGATGATTCCGGGATCCTATTAATGCTCTAAAGTTGCTGGTCGAATCAGGTCGATTCTAAGTTGCCGGTAGCATGGGCGGTGCCGGAAGTAGATCTCTAAGAGGAAGATTTTTCACTCAATACGGACGGCTAAGGCTTGGAGCTCGCGCTCATGGAGGAGACACCATACACTTGCCGACAAACACTGAAAACGCCCGCACCGATTTCATGTCTGGCCAAAGGATCATCGGATCATTTCTTTGCAGGTTCAGGTGCGGGCATCCATCACATCCCATGCTGATGGATCATGTGGACTTACTCTGTACATACTACAGATGACGGATCTGTTCGCGTATATAATCAAGAGACTTTGAGGGTCGTGAAGGCTATCAGAGGTTTGGGAGAAGTATCGTCCGTTGTATGCATGTCGCACAATGCAGGTGGCCTCGGGGACATATGGGTCGCGTCCAATTGTCATGTACGTCTCGGCAAGTTGAGATCCTGCATGTGTCTGACAAACCGTGTTTTCAACTTATACAGGCTCTACGGTTTACTATGGACACGGAGAAGATGATCCTTGCGAAGGCTGACGCGACCTTGATGTTGGAACTTGGTGCCGACGACGACGACATGGTGAACGAGGTAGAGGGCGTAGCATCATTCTTCATATTTTTGACTAATCATGACCAGCCAGCTCTCGCTCAACCAAAAAAACAGTCAACTGGCATTTTGTCTGGACTCTGGCACAGTCGGTGTCGTTGATCTCTCTACGAAACAAATATCACGCCTGAAAACAAGTCACGACAATGTTTGTATCTTTTCGTGTTTCAGGTGCATGCCTCGCTCATAGTGATACAGATATGTGGAACTGTGAAGTTCATTCCCGATCGTCCCAGTGAACTTGTTAGCGGTGGATACGACTCTAGGCTGTTGCATCACGATTTTCATCAAAGGACTGTATTGTCGCGATTCGATATAGGTAGATTGACTTTCGGTGGATTTGGCCGTCACTCATTTTTTTAATGTTTCCCATGTCAGGGACGTCTCCTCTGCCCGAGTCTTCAGGTGTTTCAATGTCTCCGCCATTCATATTGTCGTCTGCCATGTCACCATCTGGGATCTTGGCTACGGGAACCGCTGACGGACGGGTATGGATTGGCACCGGCGGAGAGAAAATGTCAGGAGTGTCATCTGGGACGTCTATGAAAAAGAAACGGCGGAAGTGGGAAGGATTGAAGCAAGATGAAGGCTTCACGGCGGATGTCGGACATGGCCCTATCACTGCTCTGTATGTGTATTACTGCTGCACTGCGACGTGCGAACTGAGACGCCAATAGGGACATTCATCGGGCCTCGCACACTTTTCACAGTCCACATTGATGGGAAAAGTGACCCTTCATGAAATTGGTGGCCCAACTGCGGATGGGAAGTTGGATATATTTCCAAAGTGGACGAAGGCAACAATTAATGTGAACAAGGTTAATGCGATCGTTGCCACAGGGGGCTTGATTATCATCGGTGGGCTGAGTGAGAAGGGAGGAGGCATGATAGAGGTTTGGGAGAAGGGATTAAAATCGGGTGATGTATGAATGCCTTACTGAGTTGCTGTAGGCTCACTATCGTTGTCTGTGTGTTACTATGTAGGCGCCACTGCAGCGCTGTCAGACTCCACTTTCCACGAGCTAACGGTCAATTCCCGCACGTGATTGTCACATCACTACGACGTGGCTGTAGCGCTACTCAACCACTGCACACGACGCGATGACGAAGGATCCTTCAATCAATGGGCCTATTGTCTCGCGTTGCCAACCTGTGCTTCAACCCTTTAATGCAGCGAGTCAATGTGTAAAGAAGTAATAACGATCCACCACCTCTTGATCAGCACGACACAAAGCACTTGTCGAGGGGGAAAGGAGTGTCGTCAATTTGTCGCGAATGACTATCTCCATAATCCTTCGCATTTTGGAGATCGCTGCCAAGGAATATTCAGTAGTTTACTATTTCTGGAGAAGGCTTATCTCTACAAGCTTGATGCATCTAAGTTGTCCCTCCAATACTGTATGCTGAGAACGGCATCGGTTCGGCTGTTGATCCAACCGAGTGTGATACCAAGTGTTGTGGCCTCGTTATCGTAGTCTTTTCATTCCTAACGTCTGTATGTCCCATTGGTCTGGGCCTTCAGGGGGAATTAAACTTCTTTTATTATATCTCGCTTGTTGATCTCCCGAGTCTGGGCCTTCTAAGTTCGCCGGAGACTCGTGCCACGCTCTTTCGTCCCTGGGGCTGAATAGTGATTTCCCCTCTAATCCAGTGCTCCTCGCGGTGGCCGTGTGGTTTGAAACGCAGAGTCGTTTTATACATACGAAGTAGTGATGTGTTCAAGAATCTGAGCGTTGAGCGTTAAATTGTATTCTGTTGAGGCGAAGTACTCATGCTTGTTTCTGACGGTGCAGTAACCTGCATTAATAAGTGCAATAAATCTGTGTAGGAGTGCCATCTGTGGAGCTGGACCTGCATAGTCATCAGAAACCACACCGTGGCCGGGTATACGGATTGCCCGTGATGGTGCGAGGATTGCTAGGAGATTGGTATCCAGCTCTCAGCAAACGAGGTGTGAGTCGCACGTCCTCACTTGTGCATACAGACAAAGACTTCCAGGAATCGGATCTCCCAATCTCTCCAAAAATAGTCTACATAAGCTCATACACGTTGTGCTCACATGAGTAGAGTCCTGGATGTCAGGTCCAGTGCGCACAATGAGATGTTGCCTTGGCGTGGGTGCCATTCGGAGCGTGCGGTTCAATAACAATCGTGTGGTCTGTTTATTGACGATAATTTGGCTGCTCATGGGGAGGTTCTGTACGACACAGGTAATTCGTAAGTATGAACCTTGCTGCCCTTGGCTGCAGGGTTGCTGCACCGGACGAGGAACATACGCCCGAAGTAATTAAGGATCAAGAATATCCAATGAGCACATTATGATTGTCTCGCAGAATGGGCTCAACGTCAGATTCGGAAGTAAAAAAACATCGCATTGAAGGATATCCCAAAGCCGGAATACCGCAGGGCTGTGCGCTGTGACAATTAATGCACACGAACACTGACATACGGGAAAATCCAATCAGCAGACAGCAGGCAAGAAGAAAAATCAAACAACGGGCCTGAATACAAGCAGCAGTCGCTAATTCAAGCACCGGATCCTGCCTTGAAATTGCAGTTTACCCATGATTGACTCCGAAAAGGCCCATCAATGATAGCAGAGTTAGAACAGTTGATCGCATACACGTCTGCACATCACAGCGAAAAGCGTATACACCTATAGCGCCGATATCATAGGAGACAAAAAGAAGCCCCGCATCTATCGAATGTCCTATTGCAGGAAGCTGAAGTTCACATGTCATCGGGCGGAGGACTGTCGCATTGTTTGAAGAAGCATGTGGTGTTGCGTTCCTACGTACCTAGAATGTGCCAAGCAAGGTACTTGTAGGAATAAGAGCTTTATGCATGTAGTTAACGTCCAATGAAACAATATAAAACGCGCAGCGCACGCACCTCTTCAGCTACATCCAAACCCACTCTACCAAGTTCACTCAACAGTGCTCAACACTACCAACCACTAGTAAAATGGCACAACTCATTCCTATTACCACGCCCACTCGGGTGTTCGAAGATCGCACACAGACGGTCTACGCAGCTGTAGATCTTCCCAATAGTCAACTGATGGTGACCTCCTCTGAAGACAGGATGGTTCGTCTGTGGGACTTGAAGACAGGTAAAGTATTGAAGCAAATGGAGGGGCACACCGGTGACGTGATGGGATTGGCGGTATCACGAGACGGGGAAATGATAGCGACTGGTGACGAGAACGGAGAGCTCATCGCCTGGCAGGCAAAAACTGGGGAACCTCTCACCAAAGTCATTAAAGTCCATGGCAGTGCAGTCCGCTCGCTGGACTTTTCACCCGACGACGAGTCCGTCGTTACCGCATCGTCGGCACAAAACGACCAAACGGTAAAGATTTGGAACACCAAAACATGGGCACAAGACGGATATTATGGCTGCGGTAGCATCGTCCGCTGCGTTCGGTATGCGCGGTCTGGCGTCCATATACTTGCGGTGGCAACAGACCAAGATATCCAAATTTATATCAGCGGCAAACTCCAAACGAAATTTAAGGGTCACAGTCACGGTACATTGTCACTCGCCTGGTCCCCTGATAGCACGCGCCTTCTTTCAGGTGGAGATGACTATGATTCCAGCATAAGGGAGTGGGACACATCGAGCTGGACGCAAGTCGGTAATCCGTGGGAGGGTCATGAGTACAAAATCAATTCCATTGCCGTTCATTCTTCTGGCACGCACGCGGTTTCTGCCTCTAGCGACAACTCTGTTCGTCTTTGGCAGCTCTCTGATAAACAAACTATCGCCATCTTCCAGCACGCTTCTTCTGTCGTTTGCGCAGCTTTCTCCGCGGATGGCACGCAGATCCTTAGTGGAGGTTATGATAAGAGAGTCGCAGTGTGGACGGCACCCAAGGGTACTTTGCCAGTATCAGATGCTTCCAAGGAAATGGTGTCAATGGTAATTTCTTGCTGATGTAACCCTCCACTATCTCATCTTGTGTTTTTTCATCAAAAGGTTCCAGGTTCTGATTCCAAGGTTGAAGAGCGTACTTCAACGCAACTGGCGCTGAAGGTAATTTCCAATTAATTACACGTTCGCCGTCTCATCTAGTATTTTCATTTCTGTTCAAAGGCTATAGATTCAGGGATTGAAAGTTCCTATTCCCAGTCTCTGCAGGCAGTTTCAACGACTGGAAATGATTCCAAGTCTCTGCAGGTAGTTTTGACGACCGGAGGCTCCGATTCCAAGTCTCTGCAAGCAGTTTCGACGACTGGAAGCTCTGATTCCAAGTCTTTGCAGGCAGTTTTGACAACTGGAAACTCCGATTCTGAGTCTCTGCAGGCAATTTCGACGGCCGCAAGCTCAGACTCCAAGTCTCTGCGGGCAGTTTCGACGGCCGCAAGCTCCGATTCCAGGTCTTTGCAGGCAGTTTTGACGACTGGGAACTCTGATTCCAAGTCTCTGCAAGCAATTTCCATGACTGGAAGCTCAGACTTCAAGTCTCCGCAGGCGGTTTCGACGACTGCACGCTCCGATTCCAGGTCTTTGCAGGCAGTTTCGACGACTGGGAACTCTGATTCCAAGTCTCTGCAAGCAATTTCCATGACTGGAAGCTCAGACTCCAAGTCTCTGCAGGCAGTTTCGACGACCGCAAGCTCCGATTCCAGGTCCTTGCAGGCAGTTTTGACGACTGGGAACTCTGATTCCAAGTCTCTGCAAGCAATTTCCATGACTGGAAGCTCAGACTCCAAGTCTCTGCAGGTAGTTTCAACGACTGCGGGCTCTGATTCTAGGTCCTTGCAAGCAACTTTGACGACTGGAAACTCAGGCTCTGAGTCTCTGCAGGCAGCTTTGACGACTACAAGCTCTGCTTCCAAGTTCCAGCAATCATCTTCGACTGTCCAGTCTGTATCGAATGAGCAGTCCATTTCCAAGGCTGAACAACATGTTACTAAGTCGAAACAGTTTATCACCAAGTCGGAACAGGCTGTTTCAAAGGTATGATTTCATCCTTTTCTCGCATGGCGCTATTTGAGCTTTTTTTCACGCAGACACTTGTCATCACCACGGCTGAGCTCCTCGCTATCACTAAGACCACCCGTACTGCATCCCTCTCAGGGGACTTGTCTACTGCTGAAAGGGTCCTCACTCAAGAAATAACTGCCGACGCCAGGAACTTCGCCTCCTATGCCAACCGCTCTTTCGTTATGGCACGCAAACTCGACTGGGACAATGCACTTCAGGATGCAACCAAGGTGACAACGCCTCACCACACCCTAGTTAAATTTTTGCTAACTCCGATGGCCATATAGTCCCTTACCATACGGTCATCGTTGGCTGGCTATATCGCCAAAGGTATCGCTCTCTGTGGAAAGCAGCTTGTTGAGGACGCGAGGACAACCTTTGACCTGGCATTCACGTTCACGCAAGGAAACATGGATGCTACTGTGTTCCTTTACTTAATCAAGGCAGGTTGATTTTTTCGTCTTGCATACTCTATGCTTCATTATGTGTTTCAGGCTATTGCGCTCTTCAATGCTAACAGGCACAAAGAGGCAGTGCTGCGTGTGGATCAGCTCTCTGCCGATCCTTCTGCCGATCCCCTCGCTTGTGGTGTCGTGCTAGTGAGTCTCATGTTCTCGAATACACTTATGTTCGTCCGCTGACTGATGGGCTTGTGCTTCGTGCATCAGGCGAGTTTGCAAATCCAACTAGGAACCATTGCCTTCAATGGCGCGCATCATAGTGAGGCCATCGAGCACTTCACTGCCGCTGTCAAGGCTAGCACTTTCTTGGCTCAATCTGCCGCTCCTGCTGCCTGCGAGGCTTTCACTGTAGTACGTTTAATGTGACGTCACCGGAAAGCTCACCCGTACTCAACTGCGCTTGTTTTGTAGCTCTTTGGATGGGACATCGGGGCGTTATGGCAAACCTCCAACAAGAAATTGATTCTTGCGCTCCTTGGGGCTGGCATGCTTGGAGAAGCGTTCGAATCGTACCGTTTCGCGATGGACGCAGGTGATGAAGCTACGAAGACCAACTTACGTTCCTGGATCGAGAGTGAGTCTGCCCAATAATGTCATCCATGTTGCGGTGCTCAACCCTTTTTACTCAGCTGTCTCGTTGTGATGAATGACGCAGTATGCCTTCACCATGGACTGTTGTTACATATGTATATATTGAAACACAAGTTTCTTCTATGGACCTACTTTCGCGATTGTTGTATCATGTATCCCTGTTACTTTTATCGATTCGCTAGCTTATGACAGAATGCAGACCAATGATTCTACAATGCTTCCCTCCACGCCACCAACGGTCCGATTATTCATTATGAATCCTACAGCAACCTGTTTATTCGATGCGTACCCTTCTTCGATTTCTTCACATTCAATCTCTGGACGCTTCAATCGAGAGTCACTATCTGCATCAATTCAAAGTAATCGTTGACTGAACAATTCTTCCAGACTTGCTGGTTGTTCAAAAGTCTATCGCACAAGAAAGTTTCAATCTGGGAATAAGTGTATGTCCACTTGTCTGGTCTTCTCTACCCGATGTTGCTCTCCGGAATACACGATGTACCACCATCTTCTGGACTTCTTGCCGGGTAGTTATTTGCGCCAGCGAATTGCAGACAGGTACTCTCGCGATTCAGCAACGTCGCCACCGGTCTAACTCAACTTCGGTTATTTCGAAGGCTGTTGGTAGAAGACATTTTGCTCCCGGACTCTGAAACGTCGCCTTAAAGACCGGTCGTCTGAGTTTCGTAGTACAGTACAACGAATATCTACATGAGCGGAGGAGAGAATGCCCTTTAAATTCCATATGCTGCGGCATTAATGACCATCGGTGCTTGGGAGAGGTGCACAACAAATCAAAAGTACGAGACGGGCCAACAACGTGAGCAGTCGTGACCGTATGGTTGGTACACCTGGTGTGGTAGCCTGAGTGCTACTATTTAGAGCAGGTTGTGTTGTGGACGTTGAAGTGGCAGTAGGCTGAGATTGAGATTGAGATGACGACCCCTGGCCATGCAATCGGCTGCTCTGCGGTTGTGTTTCTTTCGGCCGCGGAGCGACAACCAAAGACTACGACGGAATTATGGAGTCAAGGTAAACAGAAACACACGAAGAAAGAAATACCTTTCTGTCTTGTACTGCAGCGACTTCAACAATGCAAGGACCGCGACGAGAGAAGATCCCTCGCCTTTGTATTTGTTGGAGTTCAGTTGCTTCATTGGTGTGGGAGTGAGGAGCGATGGAAGAGCGCCGGAATGCGGGCGAGGAGCGCGCGTGGACTTCCTATAGAGGGTGCGAGAATGCGATGGGAGGAAGGGTGATGAACACTGCGCGACGTGGAGGACTGATTGCAAGAGGTGAGAATAAGAACTGATTAAAAAAACGCGGACGATGCACGTGAATGTCACCTGGCATGTCATCGAAAAACCTTGGGGGTATTCGACGGATAGGACTAGGTGGACGCCGCGTAGGCGTAGCATTGCTCTAGAGTGATGATCTTATATAAAATGATTGAAAACATGAAAAAAATGTCACATACGTTTATTGGCGACTTTGCAGCTGCCACCTGCAAGTAGGAGATAGATTAGTGTGGATTTGACTGAAGAGCCATGAGACTTACACGAGGAATAGGTAGGAGAAGGTCTTTAAGGCCAGCATTTTTGAGGATAGCCTGAATATCCCATGCGTACACACTGTGGTCAGTGGCAGTGACTAGCACTTTTCCATCGGCAGAAAAGGCTGCACATAGCACACTAGACCCAACGTTGTGCTGATCATAAAGGGGTGGTCCAATTGGGAGGTTTGTATCGAGATTCCACAAACAGGCTGCTCCACTTGTACTGACAAGGAGGCGGTCGTTCTGAGACAAGGAAATGGCATAGGCAATCTTTTGAGACCGCATACCGGAGATGCCTGGAGTGACAATCTGGTTCCAAGTGGCTGTGTCGAATATGCTAATCGGGCCAGCTGATGTACAGATGAGTTTCTTTCCATCTGACGTCCAGGCCAACTTGGGGAAGGAACCCCATGGCCAATATTGGATTATTTTGAGGAGTTTTCCTGTCTTTGCATCCCATATTCTTACTCCGTCCTGCACTCCACTCGTCGTCGTGCTGTCTCCCCCGGTCGCAAATTTTGTTGAGTCGGGTGAGTATATCACTACTGACACATAACGGTGCCCAGTCGTGATTGGGCCCAGGACTATTCTGCTGCTCTTGACATCCCATACTCTTGCTGTCCCGTCAGAGTATCCGCACGCGACTCGCTTACCATCTCCACTCCAGCACACTGACTGCACCCAATTAGGGTGCCCCATCCAATCAGTGTGCCCTAAGTTCCATCTGACAATAACCTTTCCCGTCCTGACATCCCACAACCTCACCGTCCTACCACTTCCGCTTGCCACAGTGCTGCCATTGGGAGACAATGTCATTGTACACATGCTTGGTTTATCCACCCCATCTCGCCAGTCTTTGCCGATCTGTTTCCCGCTCTTCAGGTCCCATAGTCGGAGTGAGCCGTCATTCGAACATGTGATGATGCGTCGTTCTTCATCAGCCAGGTGCACAACACCTCTCACGTTGCCAGGATGACCTCGTATCACCTGGAATGGTATGACCTCTGGCATCTTTCTGGTTAGGAATGGCTTCGTTGGTGCTTGGGGACCCAAGGTCAAGCGTTGTCTATTTCGTGGGTGCATAACACTATTCATTTGGCCAGTATGGCCTTGCATCCTCTGGTATGGTATGCCAGTATGATTGCTGCAGTTTCTGAGAAAGTGGGTGTTGGGTTTAGAGTGGCGCAAGCTGGCCATTCATTCATTTAACTCATATACTACGGTGCCTATTCCGCGTGTCATCCCCATATTCGCTTCACAACTCAAATGCTGTGTAGACGAAGCGCTCAGATCTGCCACCGGCATTATGTGTGTCTTCCCATATGTAAGAGACTTTCCCTCATTACCTTCGATGCTGTTTCAAGGCAATTACTTTAGACACAGGATTTCCGAAAGACCGCCGCATGTAATTATACAGAGAATAGCACCTCGGGGCATGTTCCACGATGAAAGTGGGGAAACTTGACGCTGTGATGGGCTGTGTGACAACGTCCGTGTACGTTTGGTACGACCTAGACTAAAATTAATCGATTGTGCACTGTGGAGCTTCAAGCTTCGCTCACCCCGATGGATCGTGATGAGCATCTGTGAATGCGGTATCCAGGTGATGAGATCTCTGCAAGGAAAGACAATAAACACCGGTTCGGGCACAAGGCGGTAAGTGGGGTGTATTCAAGGGTCTTTTGTTTGTCCAGATGAATGTTACACCAGTACGAATCAGATCTGGGGTCCACATGTTGTTGGAAAACTGTATGGTCATCAGATAGCCTCTGATTTGTTGCGCCGCATGCAGGCGGAGGGCAGTATCCGCCAATAGCAGCCATAGATCAGATACTAGACCTATAATGGTCATCAGACACGTAACTTGAAGCGACTATTATCACTGAGTACTGAGTCTGCTTAGCAGGGAACTCGGAATGGGACAGCATTAACGTTCCAGTCGGCTAGATCTCGTACTGGCTGAAACACATCATACGGTGTGATATGCAATCATCCGAGCGAATGCTAAGCTACTAGAGTCGATCTTCAGAATGGCGATCTGTTGCTGAGTGGCTGTGTCAAAATCCTAATTGGGCCTATTGACGCGGAGATGAGTTTCTTTCCATCTGACATCCAGGCCAAGTTGAAAACATTGCAAACTGTCTAAGTCTGGTGTGCCCGTAAAACATGGATCCCCCCGTCACAAATTTGGTTGAGTCGGGCGACAGTATATCACCGCCCACTGGCATATCCACTCGTGCCCAGCCTTGATTGGACCCAGGACTGTTTCCCCGTTCTTGACATCCTATACTCTTGCTGTCCCATCTCAGGATCCGCTCACGACTCAGTAGTGCACTCACTGTCGTTTGCTCTCTAGCACGCCGACCTCACCACACCCCCGGTAGTTTACCCTTTCCATTTGACAATGACTTTTCCCGCCTTGATGTTGCACAACCTCACCGTCTCATCACTGCTTCCGGTTGCCACAGTGCCATAATACTATTATGCACACCGCTGCTTCATCTACCCCATCTTGCCAGTCATCGCCGACCTGTGCGTCATCGTCCACCGGCAGGTCCTATAGTTGGAGTGAGCCGTCATACGAACACGAGATGATGCGTCGTCCGCCAGGCAGGTGCACAGTCGTTCATACACATTTGGTATTACCTCGCATACTCTGCCAGGGCATGACCTCTTGCGGGAAATCACCACTCTTGAGGGTCTGTTCTGCGCCTTTTCCTTTGTCTCGAGACAATCACCTGCTTGCCAATGCATCATCAGGCAATCGTATTGTACAGAGGCGGCAGATTATACCAAACTCTGGAATGATCTGCGTGAATCGATCTCCCTTGTGAAAGGGGGCAACGCACAGCCTGGATAAGGCACTTTTGGACATATCGTTGGCGGTTATGATGCAGGGTACTATTGGTAAGTCATACGATTATGTTCTGATGGGCCATGGGTTGAAACTGACACCTTTGGTGAACGTGATAACCAGGTACACGTACTCTCTCGTGTTCGCCGCGGACATGTATGTAACAGTTTTCAAGAAGGATCCATTGAATCCTGCTTTGGGTGAGCTTTACAGGGTCGAGATTCTACTGGTGGGAGGTAGTCAGGATGAAACGGACTCGCTTGAGGTGCATCACATCTTCGCAATCTCATCTGAGGATTTTTTTTTTTTTTTTGCTTCAGATTTAGTCCTTTGGGGTCGTAGACCCTATGTTGGACATTGTCTCGTCATTAGCTATCTTTCATCTTTGAGGGGTTTGGATGCTTTTCATTTATGGTGCGGACATGTACTCATCTCATCTGAGGATAGTAGTTCATGTGATGGGACCCTTGTTTTTGGGAGGTTTGGGTAGCTGAAGTATTTCGGAACAGTAACAGGCAGTGTTGCCAGAATGAAATATTTCTTCCAGACGGCAATTGCCGGCAGTAGGTCGAGGGTGGTTGGCAGAAGTTGGCAGAACTACGCTAACCTAGTATTTGTTCGTACCAAGGGCCATCCTGTCCGAAAAATTGTGTCCGACCACCTTGTTCCTGGGGAGAAAAAAAACAACTCGAACCGATATGTTTCAAATGTGACCGTCCCTTGATGGATGTCGAGTGGTAGTCACTACTGCTCAACATCCATCAAGGGCCGTGACGACAACTACCTCAAACTAATTGATCAAAAAACATGCACAAAGCCCCTGATCACACCTGTGCAGAAGTCCATGACTACCCCGCTACAGAGAAAGACAATCAAGACCTTCTATCCCCGCCTATCACGGAACCGGAACCTTCTTCCACTTCTTCTGAGTTGACCAGTCATTCTTACTGATGAGGGTCAAACTGGCGTGGAATCACAAAACTGAAAGAAACATTTTGGGTACGCAGACCTCCTTGACATACCTGAGCAAACCAATCGAGCTGCTTCGGTAAGTAACTATGTTTTTTTTTCGATTGCCAAGAATTGATTCTTTGATGAAATATGAGCGCGAGATACAGGGAGCTGACTAACTGCGAGACAATTCGATAGGACAGGCTCATAAGTCATCGCTGATCTGCACGTATAGTTGGAGTGGGCCGTCATACGAATATGTGATGATGCGTTGTCCGCCAGGCAGGTACATAACCCTTTGTACATGTTTGGTATGATATGACCTCTGGAGGGAGATTGCCACTCTCGAAGGTCTGCGGAGGTCTGATCCGTGTCTTTTTTTTGAATCCTTGTTTAGTGTCCGGCAGGGGAAACACTATGCTAAACAATACGTCCTTTTTCTTGTCTCAAGACAATCGCCTGCTTACTAGTACATCTTCAGACAATATTTTGCTGCTCTATCCGTAATATTATTGTGCATATATGGATCCCATTGTAGCATGTACTTTTCGCACAAAGTCGTCCACTTTCAATAAGCCAATCAAAAGCCTGATTAAAAGCTCTGGAATACATGAACAGGGGTAGCGAAGAAGACAATGGCATCTCTGAGAAGTGAAGTGCATAAGCATGAATATGACACGGGGAGTATGCGTTGCCATGCGGGCAGGCGATACAGAACAGACATAACCTGAGGGACACAGTATGACATGAAATGTCCTCGGGAGTGGTTATCCCGCAAAGCGACCAAGTAACCAAGTTTCGAGTACAGAAAAGTGCCAAAATAAATATTCTCATATTCAGGAATGTACATTAAAACAAGGAGTCAATCAAGTAGCGCAAGAGGTAGCAGGGTTATGGGTGATACAAACACGAGTGAGCTGGTGATCAACACATGGGCATGGATAGTAAGTATCATAAGAACTTGTAGCATCCATCAATGAGATGACTCGGAGGTGATCTCCTCCAGCTTGTATCGTCTCAAGGCAGCGTGGAACTTGATGGCAAACCCATAGAAAAATCTGACGTAGGCGTTGCAAGTCTCAGCATGCAGCCTCAGACACTTGAGGATATTATGATGCGCTTGCACAGTTTTCTCGATGGTTTCCTGCAGAGCGTCCTGTTTGGTCAGACCACGAGATACTGCCACACGTGACACGTAGTTCATGGTGTCGCCTTCAATTTCCTCTTTGTAGTATGATAGTATGTCGCTAAAGAACAGTAGTTCAGTGAGAGGTCTAATAGGACATAATCGGTGTACTTACTTTGTGTGATTGATGATAATGGCTAGATCCGGCATGCATTGAACATATTCCTGGAGCGGGAGCGTGGAAGGGAAAATAAAGAGTGAATATGCAGCTGGCATGCCTGACAGCATCCCCAGATAATCGGGGTATGATGGAGTCTCTGTCAAAATCTGCGAAGACAAAGGGTCAACAATCCGAGCTGGCTTTGTTCAGAGGAATACCATGCCTGCATGTCCTTGGTTTCGTTATCAAGCAAAATAGAAGATATGAAATCGAATGTGGACGTGACAATCAAATTTGACACAGGTGAGGAATAATAGCAAACAACGTCCCGTAAGAGTGCATCAAGCACATTTAGGACTGGATCGCCTTGTGACTGCTTGTTCACAAAGCGCTCGTAAAAACTATACATGTTCACCAAGTCATCTCCTTTATCCATCATATCATCGATGCAGATGAGGAGGATAGTGAACAAGCAGATCCACATCCTTGTTGCACGGTCTGGAAGGTGGGCGTAAATATGGGACACGGCCACACCGATGTCCATGTACGGGCGGAGGGAATATTTTCCGTCCATCGGAAAGCCACGGTTGATGGCCTCCTGGTAGCATTCAGAGTATAACACTTTGTCAATAGCGATATTCGCGATGTTCGCATGTGGCAAGCCACAGCGTCGGAGGAAATCAGTAGTGGCCTGGCGGATGCTCACTAGGACCTAATAGATTTGAGAGATTAAGGACCAGACATGGAAGCGGGGGAGGGAAAACGTACCTGGCCATTGTTAAAAATGGGTGTGATTAGGCTGTTACTTTGCATTGCGAGAATATTTGGCGACAGAATGGTTGAAATACACCTGGTACTTATACTCTTATGACCGGTTAAGTTGGCCCCTGTCCGACGTAGTAGTTCAGCCCTGAGAACAGGTGATTGACGATTAACGATTTTCATTGGTCGACCACGCTGCAGTTCGGATGTAACTCAAGCACTAACATATAATAAAACCTCATCAGTTCATTGAGCAAACGACATGTACAGGGATGCAATTCTTTATGCAAATTACACAACGAGTTCACACTCGTGACGTTGAGGCTGTACCGCGATAGTGACCTAGTGATGAAATTCCGGTCCGGTTATTACCTTGCTTGTCAACTTGGGACGCTCCAAAAGCGAGGTTTCGCGATAGTCTCGCGACGTTAAGGTAAGTCTCTCAATGATTCACCAGAGTCACTCATGGGTTGCGCACCTTCAGAGACCAATTTCGCTGCTTGCAGTGCATGACTCGCATTGATACAAAAGTCCCGCCAAGGTAAGCGCAATCCCCTTCTCCTGGGAGCTCGAGAAAGGTTTTTGTTAAATGCAAACATCCCCGTGTTTCCGTCTTTGACAATCCGCCTGTGGGAATTATTTTCGACATGTGCTGTACAGTTCTTCGCTTAATTCCGGTATATGAAACAGACATAATCTGACATGTCTGAACTCGCATCTCTTATAATTATAAGGGTTGTCTCGCCTGTTGCCGGTTTTTGGTATCCTGTTATCAGTCAGATTCCTTCGAACAACTTCAAACTCTGAGCCAACATGAACAAAGTTCGGACACCCTCACGGCATTTGCAATGAAAAGACCCCCAGACTCTACTCGATATGTTCGCATCAGCTTAATGTTGCGGCCATCACCGAGCTCTCACTGGCAGGGGTGTCGAAGATGCGGCTCACTTGGTCGTACAGTCATTGTTTATCTTTGATCTCGTCTCTTTGTGCGTAGGAGTTGATGTCAAGCGGATGACTTTCGGTCGTGCTCGCTTTGAGCCTGAGACATTCTCATCCCTGTCTCCGGCTACATCTCCACCTCTACTGCATCGGCATCTTGCGTAGCACTATGATAACAAGACAATCCACGACCCCCCATGGTTTAATTACACCAACGATTGTCACCATGACAGCTTACAACATTTGTCGGCCTCTGCCATGACACTTGTGCAGTGCTCACAGTTTCGCTTGCAAGAGGTCGGAAGTTTGCACAAAGTCTGATGTGGCACTTCCCCGGCTCCCACGTTAGTGGGAAGAGGGTTTTGTCGGATCCAAACGTTAACGTGCAGGCACTTATACGCTGATGTGTGGGAGCCCTTTGGGGGAAAAAATGAATGCGTGATAGTCCATACTACATAGTCAGGTTGTCTGTGTCGTCTCAAACTTGTGTTACGTCTTTTCGGTCTCTCTCAGTATCCTTTTATTATTATTGACGAACTTCATATTTAGGATGTCTGTGTTTCTCTCAAAACACCCCATGGCCAATACGTCTCCTCAAGTCCTCGATACTACAGATTGCCCGCCCCACAATATCCTTCACGATATGCAAATATATCACCTATTCTATAACGTTTTGTACTACCCGCAATATCAACTGTGTCGATGTCGATTGAATGCGGAAGGCCAGAAATTCATTGTCGGAGAGCGCGTCGTCTAAATTAGTCACTGACTCACCGCCGTACGCAGTAAGGACCACTCCGAGGGCACCGATCCATCCTTGGGGTTGGGGTTAGAGCAATTTTTGTGGTGCGGACGTTGAGTTCGGCACTGATGTCGTGCTACGGTATCAGACGTACCAAGGAACGCAGACTAGCTGAAAGTATTGTCTTTGGACGTTTGAACTTTGAAGTCATTTTGAAGTTTGCATCAAGGTTGGTTTGTACATGTTAGGTTAGCCTTCTCATACTATCTCGATGTTATGCATGTATGTCTAGGCAATATATAGCGACAGGAACCGTGACATTGCAGTTCTATCAAGTACTTGATCAACTTGAAGTACCTGCAGTTGTCTGGATGAATACGTTAAAACGTGGAGGTAACTTAAGAACCAGATCTGCAGATGCTCATCCAGCAACTGCTCTAAAGCAACGAATCTATATGCCCAAGCTGATGCTCATACCCTGCAATTATCCAGATTGAAGACCATGAGATCCTCTGCGCCGATCTTCACCAGTTCGTCCATGGTATTCGCAATGTTCTTCTTCTCAACCATACTACTGATCGCAACCCAACCTTCCTCTTCGAGAGGACTGATGGTGGGCGCTCTTCTTCCAGGTGTAATAGCTGTTGCCTGAGATATCGATTGTCTACGAATATTATATTCGCAAACAACATATTTTCCAGCAGCCACGACTCCAGCTATTCGGTTTGCAATAAGATCGATCAAAGGTGCATGATGGGCGCGATGGGGAACGTTTGATTTTATGAGTACGGCCTCTGTTTGGAGTATTGTCCCGATGGCGTGCAGACCGGCTGCTCGCATCGTATCTCCAGACTCTGATATATCGTTAGATCATTCTACGCGTGACCTGGGACGATAACATACCGACAAGATCAACTATTCAAGATCAAGATGTGAGCATCATTGCAATCTGTCATTCCAACGCGCGACTCACCTATACCATCCGCGAGTCCAAGAGCACAAGCTGCTTCTACACTCCCTCCTACATACTGGATCTTGGTTTTGTTATCACCAGTGAGGTTCAATCGCTCATCAATCTTGGCAAAATACGCCCCTGCGATGATATCAAAACTTGTAACCACGCGTTTTCCGGCAAGATCCTCGATTGCATTGAAGGGCCCATTTTCAAGAGTTTGCACTTGTAAAGCGCATTTTCCGAATCCCAGCCGATGAATTTCCGTGACCTGATCTTGCATCTTAGCTTCAAGGATAACATCGTGGCCCGTTATGCCAAGGTCAACGTCTCCATTTCCGACGAATGATGGTATGTCTGATGCTGGAAGGAACACGCTGCGGCGAGGTCAGATTTGATTAGATGTAGGATCGGAGCCGGAGTTTTACAGAGCTATGGGGTGATTCATCACTAGGCAGACGTCAAGCCTATTGGCTCTCCGGAATTGGATGTCGGCGCCTGTAGATTGCTTTGCATATCGCTCGGAGATTTATGGATGGACGCACCGGAGAGTAACTCGACACATTTCTCGTGCAGCCGTCCTAGGGTGGGTTAGCACTAACGATCTATGATTAAGACTCGGATGAATTGGACCTTTTTTTGGAATTGCGAACAGCAGCCGGCCATCGAGCAGGTCTTTGTCTGATTTTTTGGTCAGCTAGAGGGATGTTTGGCACGCAGTAGGTTACTTACTCATGTTGAGCTGTACCAAGTTGCAAGATCTGCGGTAATCACGTTTCGAGTCGAGTTTATCAAAAGCCTTACTTGCAGTTGATTACCAAAAGCAGCGGCTAGTATTGTGGGAAAATATAACTACCCGCTTGAATTACGCGGCCTGGGAGTCGGACTGAACTGTGTCTCTATTAACTCTCTTGACCACTAGCTCAAGCTTGCCCACTTTCCAAATGATTATGCCTGACATGGACTCACTCGCCCGTCCTCAGGAGAGACGATTTAACCCTTACACGGACAATGGCGGTACAATCCTTGCTATTGCTGGTGCAGATTTCAGTGTTATTGCTGGTGACACACGACAGAGCGAAGGATATTCGATCCAAACGCGATATGCACCCAAGGTATTTAGATTGTACGCGTATCGTTGCTTATCATTTTATCTCCTTCTCTAACTTTGTCTTTCAAGAACCGATCGCGCGGTGCTAGCTGTGAACGGGTTCGCAGCAGATGGCAATATGTTTGTGAAGAAAGTGAAACAACGTCTGGAGGTTCGTCATTCCTTGGTATGACTCTGCTGTATATACTTATGGGGCTACGTAGTGGTACCGTCACGCGCATGCGAAAGATATGCCTCTACGGGCAATAGCAAGATTAATTCAAACGATGCTTTATGGACGTCGCTTCTTTCCCTACTATGTATACAACATTTTGGGTGGCATTGAGGAGGATGGTCTGTTCATCCTCATGCTCCACGTTCTTGGCTTATTTATGGAGCTTCTCAGGCACTGGTGCCGTGTATTCGTTCGACCCCGTTGGCTCGTATGAACGAGAGGCATGTCGTGCTGCAGGCGCTGCTCAGTCATTAGTCCAGCCATTCCTGGACAACCAGGTGAGTTTAGAGTGTTCAGTATTCTTCCCAGTTGCAAATGCTATCCTTCCCGATGTCGCCCATGCATTTTGTCTGACGTTGGAACTCCTAGATCTACTTCAAGAACCAAGAAGCTGCACAAGGGACCTCACATCCGGTGCATCTACCGCTGGAAACCGTCTTGTCGATAGTTATCGACTCCTTCACGAGCGCAACTGAGCGCCACATTGAAGTGAGCCCCATATTTTGGTCGTGTGATTTCATCTAACATTGTGCAGGTCGGTGATGGCCTTGAAATCTTCATCGCACTCGCCAAAGGACGGACTCTGCAGGGTATGGAAAGCATTCGGGGTCTGCAAGAGTTAACCGCGATGGAAGATGGCGAACGCTTGTTTGTTATGAGGAGGGACTTGAAGAAAGATTAAATCGCTTGTATTCTGGACGACTTTCCCCTTTCCTTTGCTGAATACATCTTGTCATTGTCGCAGCCTGGTTAGGTTATGCATTGTTTGACCATGTATAGAATACAACGGGAACACTAAAGCGGCCATAAATACTATGCGGTGATACCGTTAACTAGCTAGTACGCAATTAGGACGTGTAAGATCTTAGATTTTTGCATGACGACGACCGCCTGATCTGCTGTCGGGCACCACAAGGCAGTACATAATTAGGTGGGACGACGTCGCGCACTGCACATGACAATCAGGATTATTGTCGGCGTCCAAGGTCAGTGTTGAAACCTATTGATTCCGTGTTGGACTCTGTGAGACGGAAATGAAGACTACAGTGAACCAAACATGTGGAGTTCAGTGCCAGCGACGCATTCTAAATTTGTGTAAATAGTATCGAAACAAAGACTGATACCAAACAAGAGCAAACAGACTGCTCGACGACCTTCTCACCTTGACCGCTATCGTCGTTCTCAACGTTCGCTCCCCACCCTTGTGGTCGTCCCGTAGTCTTTTTTCCGCTGCCCTCCTTACCCCGAAAAACTACCAAACACTGGCCTAAAGCATCTTATAGACATCCTTGATGATGATATTCACTTCCTTACTTTTGCTGCTTGCAACGTCTGCGCATGGCCAGACCGTTTACGACGCAGCTCATAATGTCACCGCCATCACTGGCACCTGGAGCTCTGGCAGCCAGAATGTCATCACTGGACCTGTAAGTCGTATATTTGATTAAAGTTTACTTCCTGACTCAGGTTGCTGTGGTTTCAAGGGCTTTGCTACCCCATCTCAAGAGGCGTTTACATACCCAAAGACAACAGGAATGTCATTTTCTTTGTGAGTATCAATAATGTTCTCGGCTTCTATTTCTGACTTAGATCGAATTATAGCACGGACGATGGGTACTACGAGATCGCGCGGTACCGTATGACTAGCAATGGTTTGCTTTCCGTGCTATATTTCCTGTTTCATGCCGCTAAAGCAGTCCTAACAGGTACCGTACCAACCTGCATCACAGGCGTCATGAACTGGGCCCACGGCACATATGTTCTCGCCTCCAACGGCTCCATCGTCATGACGCCATTCGGTGACGGCTACCAACAAATACAGGATCCCTGCGCCGCTATCTCCAACTTCATAGAAAACTACAACGATACTGAGCTTTACATTCTCTGGAACATATACCAAGACCCTGTTATGGGGTACACCCTTCAGCTGTACCAGTTCGATGGCACACCGTTACCACCTCAATACCTCGTCTCCACTTCACCCAACATGCTCCCAACTCAGGCTCTGCGTAACGTCAGCACATCCGCCACTACCGCCGCCACCGTCCAAAATGCAGCGGTCGTCAACGCCAATGCTGGGGGGCGCAGATGGGAGGTGGCAAGCGTGACAGGCCTGCTTACGGTGATTTCAGGTCTTGGACTAGCGTCTCTGCTATTGTAGAATGGGACATGATCATTATACCTGCGCGCCATCGTCGTATTTCTTATACCTATAACACACGCTTTTTTGCATTGGACAGTTTGGACACATACCTACCTGCATCATCGTGGATCCTTTGTCGATGCAATACGGATATCCTGTGATCGACTGCAGCAGACACTCGTTTGATATGCGTTCCAGTCCTTTGTTTTATTATTGTATCCGCGGGCTTGGATAATAAGGATATACACGTCACAGGAGAGCATGTGGTGTGGGCGCTACGTTTTGCCTTACAAACTATATAAGCCACTACATATCGCTTAAAATATCAGCTCCACATCTTGCTGCGGTTGCCTTTGCCAAAACTAGTTGCACTCCCTGTCCCCCCTTGTTACTGCCCCCCATTGCAACTCGATGCTCCCTCTTGTTCCACGTTATGCAAAAAGCGGTCCCCCGATGTAACACCATGTTCAGCAGCTCTCCTTTCTTTCAACCAGCGACCGCATTGTCCCTCGGTGACGCAATTGTATATACGACAAGATTTTTGCATAAGGAAGTTACCAACCCAGTCCCAGTCATCGGATCTTGACATTTCACAAGCTCCGCTATACAAACATGGTGGCAATATCAAAATTCAAGACTTCTATTCACCACTAGAGCATAAATTGACTACACATATCAAATATCCCCCCTCTCAAGGACGTAGTCACCAGACACCGGACAGGTCATCGTCGAGTCTAATTTGAAAGTTCAAGACGTGGTGAATTGGTAATATGGAAATCAAGGAAATACAATTCACCGCCCTAATGGTACATCCACCACGAAATTCTGAAGCTAATCCATCCAGCTGGCCAGACCCTGAGTGAGTCTAAACTCAGGATCTTATCGTACCAGTAGTAGGTTTGGTGGCGGTACATAGATCGCTCACTGACAATGCTATTTGATATCGAAGTTGAGGGACGTTCTTAAATTCATGCGAGGGGCTAGAATGGTTGCCTGAACTGGCTGTGCGATAGTCCGGACGACAGCGCGTATCGCTCGGTGTGCTGTGCGTAGGGTCGCTAGACCTCGCCAACTGCGCGCGCAGCAGCGATCCTGTTGGCAGTACTCGCTCAAACTTAAAAGCCAGCAGAACTGTTAAAGCTTAAAACGTGGTGAAGCTGTTTAATATCCTGGGGTTCACGAGCGCGAGGAAGCGGATGGGAAAACACGTACAACTATTGAAGCTTAAGACGTGGTGAAGTGGTGACAATATAATTAAGGGCACTCACCAGGTCACCGAATTTTACCGGAGGGCCAATTTGAATCTAGGTGGCCGAAGTGAATCTAGAACTCACCTTCTTTCTCCTCTCTCCTTATCGTACGGCTCTGCAACGGTACATGTATCGTTGGTAGTGATATCAATATTTGATGGAGTGGAGAGCCTGGACGGTTGCCTGTCCTGGTTATTTAATACTCTGGGCTGTGTATCGCTCGAAGTGCATGTCATAGTTAGCAGCTCCACTTTTGGGTGAGCTCCCGGTGCTGTTTGCTCCAAACGGTTCGCCCGGTAGAATCTGGGGAGGGGCGATCTTTGCACAAGGAAGTTGCCAAGCAAAGGTCCAGCGGATCTCATACACAATGTTCTGTGGGCGACAGAAAATATTAATTGAATATTCTTGATTTATATCATGCATGCTGTGGATTGCCGAACCTCGTTCAGTCTGGGGCCAGTCTGGCTGGCCGGGGTGAGTCCCTTTCTCTGTGTTGAGCATAGCTCGGTGGTAATACATGAATCACTGGCAGTGATATCGAAATTCATGCACGTTCTCAAATGTTGGAGAAAGAGTGAGAAGTTTCCTATCTTGGCTGTGCGATACTGCGGTCCACACCACAATTTCAGATCGAATAGTGCGTGAAGGACCGGGGATATCGAATTACGTATATTAGATGAAATGAAGTCGATGAAAAAAATTAGTTGGGTATTGGCGTACTCACGGTGAACGGGCCAAAACATACATGCGTCAATAGACAGAAATTGGACATTGAAAAACATACATGGGGGCCAAATGTACGGTTTTTTATCGTGTGGTTCATCGGATGGTTTGTTATCATGCGGTGCGTTGATGCGAGAGTTGTCAGAGGCGGACAGTCTCGTATGTCGTTCCTGGCGATCGCCCATGATGTGAGCAAGTCCGCGCTGGTCTGACAAGTGGACTCATCTCCCGAATGGTGAAATCGCCTCCAGTCATAAAAGAGGAACCCTTGAACTTTGCTTCGGGCGTCCCCGGATGTGGAGTTGATGATTCCTTCGCATTGCCACTAGCGGTGAATATCGTGGCACGCTGGGAGCGGCGTGATGCATTAAATTATCGTGAATATATGGTGACAGCAGTGAATTAAGGTATACGTTACCATCGGAGTCATTGTTAACATTGAGGGTGAAGTCCTGTACGCTGACTTGGAAAGTGCGATCCATGATAAAGGACTTGATTGATTTCGAAATTTAGTGAAAAGACCCTAAATGTGTAAAACAGAGTGCGCCAACTCAACTGAGCCACTGGCGAGGAGGCTCACCGAGACACCTATCTCGGTGAGCCTCGGCCTAGAGATAATAGCTGCAGTTATCGTTATCTGACTTGCGATTTACATTGGAAGAGAACGGTCCAGGGGTCGAAGCAACGGAACAAGCAGCGTTAAGTTAACCAAGTAGCCGCTTAATGTTTAGCCACGCTACTAATGTTAGATCGGAACCGGAATACGCCGTCACACCGGATCCAAATAAATATGGGAAAGGAATCACACGCCTGGATATTGACGATTACTCCGGAAAGTCGTTTATTTAAAATCTTGTGCCTCTTGATTCTTTCCTTGTCGCCGCTTCCCCCTCGCAGGCCCCCTACACACGGCATATCCTTCTACCGTCATATTCATTGCTTTTCTTTGTGCTATTAGATCTCATTTTCAATTGCTCTTAAGCTCAGATCATCCATCGTTCATTCATCAATTTCTTTTCCATGACCTCAGGTCTCATCAAATCTCTATCTCCTGCAACAACTACAGAATCGCCTTCACGCTCGTCCATAGGACATGAGAGCCTACCTCTAGTTTTGGGTTGGCCACCATCTCTGAATATACCAGGCGAACATCAGACAGTAGCATCCCAGACGGCTTCCGGCTCGGATCTTGACCAGGACATTTCACGGCAACTTCTTGCAAACAATAATGAGCGTTCATCTCTCTCAGAAAGCGATAGTGTCTCCATGTCACCAGCAATGATGTTCCTGTCTTCGTTTAGTCCCTCCGCAATCCCACAATCACCTGATGCAGAAGGTGAAATCATTCGTGGCTATGTCCTCGGACCAACTATAGGTTATGGGGGATTCTCTGTGATCAAACGTGCCTCATCCCTTTCGGGAGGTGTTGTCGCTGTCAAGATTGTCCGTCGCTCAAATTTGGAGAAACAGACAGATCCTTCTTTAGCTAGAAGGCGACTCAATCACGAGGCCCAAGTATGGGCTTCCTTATGTCACGAGCACACCTTGCCCCTCTTCTTTTCCGAACACACTTCCTACGCCGACTTCTTCTTCTGCCTCTTGTGTCCCGCTGGATCCCTATATGATATACTTTTAAGGGACGGTCGTCCCGCACTCCCTCACGATGACGCGGGCATGATGTTTCGACAAATTGTACGAGGCGTACGCTACCTGCACGAAGTTGCAGGCTATGTACACAGAGATATCAAACTCGAGAACATCCTTGTAGACGAGATGGGTACCTGTAGAATTAGCGATTTCGGCATGACTCGCAAGATCGGCGAAGTCGATGATGACGAACCCCTATGCGATGCAGACGATCACTCTGGCATCCACCGTCACCGTTCCACTTCTCGATCTGCAAAATCCAACCTGTCTTCGCATCTCTCAATATTACGCCACCATGGTCTTAGGCGTCACCGTATATCAACTCCTGTTGGCGAAAACCCTCCGCCTGTCCATCCATCACATGCTTTTCAACAAGGGTCTTTGCCATACGCGTCCCCCGAGCTTCTCCAACCCAAAGCTTCGCGGTTCAACGGTGCTAATCCAGCTCAGGACATCTGGGCTCTGGGTGTCCTGCTTTATGCACTTCTGACCGGCCGTCTCCCATTTTTCGACTCATTCGAGCCACGACTCGAGATGAAAATTTTGCACGGTAAGGATATGATATTGTAATCTGTGGCTTGCTAATGCACTTCTTTACAGGCGTTTATGATATGCCTTCTGGTATTAGTCGTGGAACTGAGCATGTTCTCAAAGGCTGCATGGAGCGTAGGGTCCGTACCCGGTGGACGATTGCAATGGTGGATGAGATGGCTTGGGGTGTTGGGCTTGACGACGATGATGACGACACAACTCCTGTAACACACAAGGATAAATTTGAGTTAGTAGATTATCCCAGCCGCCGATCTCCATCATTATCCCAGTCGCGCCCGAGGCGTGATAACAACTCAAACCCATCTCACACCGAAGAAGCACCCCCAAGGCGGTCCAACCGTTCCCTCTCCCGTACCTCTGTCTCAACTGCAAGCTCGCTCGCAACACGATGTACGAGTCGCAGTATCTCTCGCCCACCAGTTGTTCGTTACCCAATGTCTCCCACGTACGATGAGCTCAGTCATTCAGTGGTGAGCGCCTCGACGTCTCTCTCTGTGCCGCCTCTTGATATTGGCGGCCCTGCTCTTCTTGCATCGCCTGAGCGTGGCCGGCGACCGAAGAAGGCGGGATTTTTACCCCCGAATCGATGCACATCATCATTAGCGACGTCTTCCCGCCAATCAGAATATGCTCCAGACTCTGGAGATCTCGACACTGATGTAGACGTGTTGGGTGATACCGCTCATTGGGCGTCTACTCTAGGCATCAACGCTGTAGCAGAACCTACTGCCCACCGCAGTGGTACGGCCACTGTGATCGAGCGTTTGAAAGCCATACGGGAAACACTGCCGCCGCACAAGCACAAAAGGGCTGAGAGCACACCTCCGGCATCAGGTGCTTGGTCACGGAGATTGCGGCTTCGCATCAAGGAAGATCCTTCTTCCTATCGCGCAGCAGAAGTTCACGGAGTAGGCGGATTCCTTAGAGACCCCAGCACCACTCCCATACCAATTACGCCGCAAGGCGGTACCCGAAGCCGGAGCGTTGGGCATGACACCCATCATGCCTACCGCCGCCCTCACTAGCTGTATCCTCACCCTTCTATTCCCCCCAAAATGCAATCTATCTTCTGGGGACCATTGGATTTGTGGGTTGCTGATCGAACAATCGCTATTTATCTTGCTTTTGGCTGTGTTGGTTCATCATTGTATTTTTTATTCAATCCTGAGGACTTCCGGTACATACGACCCCCTTTGTCTGTCTTTGTTTTTCTTCGTTATGTTCTTGGTTTTGGAACGCTCGTTTTGCATAGCGTAGCCCTTGGTGTTGGAGATACACATGGTGGCAAAACTTATATTACGCATGCCTTACCACACTGTACTACTTGTTTTATGAATCTCGAGCGCCTCATTCACAATACTTGTCTGTGTAGAATCTATGCGTGATATGACGAGCAGCAAGATATAAATGAAAAGCATAGTGGTTAAGTAGTGAGTTCCATCGGTGCGTGACCACTAGCTGTAACTATCACATCGTCCGCTGCTACTTTCTGAGCCTTCCGCTCAGCAGCCCCGGCCTGAAGTGCCCCTACGTCGTCTTGCAATTTAGCCTAAAGGGGAACTTAGCTCGACTCAGAAGTAAGATGCCGGGACGCACAATTTTAGCCTCTAGTTCTGCTTTGTCAAACCCCTCATATATTCTCTTTGATGACGAGGATTTTTTGCTGTCTAATGAATGGTGTTCCTGAGAATGATCTGATGGAGATAGTAAGTAGCGTTCTTACCAAAAGCTGCATGCTTAAAGACTTCTTCCATTAACTCGTGGTTTCTCCGATATCTCGTAATTGCTAGCGTTCGCGTCGATAGCAGTTCAGATTCATCTGCACAAATGATCAATGCGAATAACGTTCAACTGAGCAAACAAAGTAGTCGAACCTGCGGATTCGTCATCATCTAGCCGCGGAGGACCAGGCCGTTGCTTAACCAATAACCAACATATTAGACAAACGTTTCTCCGAAGACAGGATATACTCACGCCCACCCCTACGCCCCCACTCCCATCTCTCACCCGTTCACGCTCCCTCCTCCTCTCCAAAGCCTCCATATTACTGTTCTGCTGCGCTATCATCGCCTGCGGGTTCATTCCTACTTGGGGCATACCGCCTTGATGTGGACCTGCGGGGTGTGGGAAGGCTTTTTGACCCGCCCTGTCGCCCATGACATATATAGGAGGATCCGTGATTTGTCGTAGTGGGTAGTGCCTGACGGGGTTGTTCAAGAGAGATGGGACGATCTCTGGGGTGCGGGAGAGGTATGCGTAGATGTAGGTGTGAAGGTGGATGTGGATTGGTGAAGTCACAGACATATCGAACAATGTACGATGGGTGGTGAGAAGGCAAAAATGACGATACGGTGGTAGAGGGACTCACGGATGGGAGGTACGCGGGAGTAGTGAATTAGGACTAGTTGGGGATGGCCGCCTTTGTGAAGGCGGTAGCGTCGGCGCATGCGCCATGCTGCTGTATCTTGGGAGTTGGGTATGAAACCGAATTTGACTTCTGCGACTTCGAGTTCCTGTGGAAAGGTTAAACTGGATTATAAAATAAACAAAAGGGCTGATGCGCACCCGTGTACCGCGTTGGACAGGGATAGTGTATCGGCTCTCTTGGTCTTGCCATCGGATTCCGTCGTTCAGAGGCTGAGAGGGATTTGGCATGAACAAGAGGTATATTTGGCCTTCTGTATATGTTGTAGAAGTGATTAAACGTTAGCTCGCGATTAAGGTCTTTCGCACTATTCATACCTTGTGGCTTGTCGATAAAAGTCCATGTGTAGGGTTGGTTGTGAGAGCTTTGGATGGCGCGGAATAGCATATTAGCTGCGTTTTCTAGGGAGACATTTGGATGAAGACCAAAGTCTTCCGGGTATTTGAGTACAGGAGCCTCTTGTTGCATTTGCTGGAATGCCATTCTTCAGTCGAGGACTCGAGGTTTACTTAGGCTGTTTCTTGCCGAGGCGTTGTTTGGTCTTAAAGCTGCTGCCAAACAAACAGTGGCTCTACCAGTAGCACTAAACTTACGACTCCGACTAAGTATCTCTGTGATACATATACGCTGATACTTGGTCGTCAACCTCTCAATTAGTGCAACGCTTCGAGATATTGGGTCAGCCCTGCAACTTGAATGGTATCCGCAGTATTAATTCACGGTTGCATCTTGATGGTTCTTTTTATATAGATCAGGTAACTTTAATGAGCATGCCTTGTACGCGAAACTTGACTACGATCCTGAATGTAGACGGAGTATCCTGACAATGCGCAGCCTTTTGCTGTGTGTCGTGTTCTCGTTGATATGCGGCCGCTATCAAGATAATGCCTAATGAATGTTCTGCTTCTTCCGGGTCCCTGTTCCAACACAGTTCAGCGTCGACGGCTACAATCTGATAAGCTTGTCCCAATCGATTTTAATCAACCACTGAATATTTCCCAGATCTATGATCATGCCTGTTCACTTCAAGAATTGGTAATGCAGTTTTTTGTGACACGCCTCAATATTGATACATTAATAGTTGTCATTGTATAATGATGCTGTTCAAGGTGGGCATTCCCGCTTCGATCTGATCGTTCTGGACCAACGCAAAGGCTCTTTCTATTACCGCACGATGTATCCATTCATCTATAGAGGGTGAGCCTCCCTACAAGGTAACAAGGTGGCAAGGTCCCTCCAAGGTAGCTTTGCGTTTCAAGTGACAATAATGCATCAAACTTGGAGGTTCAGAAGCTTTTATTAGGTGCGTTCTGCATGTATTATGTAGTCTGACCAAAAACTTGACAAACAATACATGTACCTTGGAATAGAGTATAGCTATCAGTGAAACTACTGCCTCAGGCACTGGAGGCGCAACTATATCTTTCATCAAGTCGCTCCCCTGGCGGTGCATCCAGTGAACTATGAAACGCTCCATCATGACCATCAAGCTAAGAAAGTCGAATGATATCCCAGTATTAACGTCACCACCTTGATGGGATTACAGCTCATTCATAAGAGGTGGGAAGCTGCATGGTGTGTGCATGAAACACATGTTTTTGACCTCTGTTCGCATCTATCTTACATATCTTGACGCTCTTCTATATCTTGAACCTTCTTCATCTTATATCGGTAACTATCGGTACTGCACAATGCGTATCAAGCCACCCGATCGTTACATAACCGTGCGTAGTGTACTTAACGCGCGTCTCGTCGTCGTCCATACCTCAGCGTTTTCTCATTACTCGCTGGGACTGTTCCAGTGTACAAACCTCTAGATGGAGTATTTATCTGACGATATCGCAGCAGCGAGTAGCTTGCAGTTCGCTGCGGTATGTCTCCTTGTTATGAGGGCGAATAGTACTTGATAATTCTTGTTTCATCAGTGCATACACGGTGCGTACTGTCTGAACCCCTTATCCTTTGCCCTAACACAGTTCAGCGTCGATGGCTACATTCTGGGTAGGCTTACCCTGGTTTTTCTGACGTCCGCTGTTAAACTCGCATATCCAGATCTATGATTATGCATGTTCACTCCATGAGGAGGTAATATATCCATTCCGTGATACATCTCGGTTTTGATATCCAAAATATGTTGTGCACAGTGGACATTTTTACTTCGGTCGCGCTGGAACAAAGTAAAAGGCCTGTATATTGTTACACGATACCTTCCCTTTATCCTTCTCACCATGAATCTATATCGTGCGTTCCGCTCCAGCATACATCGTCTCGGTGATGAATTGACACTCGTTCTTTAGTGAGCTTTACCACGAAAGATAATCCAGGTGTATGTCATGCTGTGGAGAATCAATGAGAACGAACAACTTACTGCCTGATTTCGCCAGAAATGCCGGATGTTGGTTAATATCGACTCAGGTATGTGCATGGTACATTCATGTATGCACGCACTTGCTACTTTCCTTTCACAGTTATTGGTATGGTATCAGCCATTTTCTCCGAATGTATCTTTCATTCCCTCGCATTATATGTGTGTTTCTGATCTGATTCATCCAGGTTTTTTCATCCTCAGAACATATGTGCTCTGGAACAAGAACAGAATCTTGCTCGCAGTCATGATGTCCACCTTTTTTGTGAGTTCCCAATCCACTCACTATACCAAAGCTAGTGGCAGATGAATCAGCCAGGTTTTTCTCGTAGCATCCTTCACCATTGCCTTCGCCAGTACCGCCCCCACAGCATGTACTCGCTCTCACCTTCCCTATGGCGTTCCACGACCACTGAAAAATCCTGTTCACTTTCACAGATGCGACTAGTGCGATCCCGGGCATCACAGGGTGCTACCAGAGTTCGACCGGTTTCTGGCTCTTCATACCATTTCTTCTCCTTTCCGCGTTCGAACTGGGTGGGTGACCAGGAGCATATGTATGTATGTAACACGTGCTGACAGATGTTCTCCCAGTACTCCTTATACTCACGCTCATACGTGCCATACAGAGCTGGCGGATAAACCCAAGCCGTCTGTACGTTGTCCTGGTGAAACATAACATATTCTATTATACATGTGGTTTTTGTGAGTTAACACTCACACCCGCCATTTTTCCGTGTTCATACATGATCATTTCTCTTTCCTGAAGTGTTCTCAGTGGTGAACATATTCACATCGCTGCTCCTCCATGTGCGTGAATCTCCCAGATGGCTTTTATGATCGAGTTGTTGACGTCCTGCGCCCCAGTATTCCTACCAATCCATGTTGCATGAGTATGCACCTCCATATCCTGCTGTGTATTCCTACTGAAGATGCCTGAACTTACACCCACGTACAGTTTCCAGTTCATGATCCTCGCAATCCTCGCCACGCGCATGCACCTCCATCTCTGGCAGGTGAACCGACATGCACATGGCTCTGGTACCCTTGTGCGTATTACAATGTCCCACATGTCATCTGTAAATTCCACGGCGTGATATCTTATCCTGTGGCTATTCGTACGAGATGACTGGCGGGGGTGGGTTTAGTAGAGAAAGTATTTCTTTATTTATATACCACAACAAACAACTAAAACTGTCAGGACGTGCCATACGGGCTGTCTTTTGGTTATTGTACCAAGTATAACTTAAGGAATAATACGAACAGTTGGAGAGGTCCACGTTTGTGGTGAAGTTATTGGTTTACACATGGGTGTGATCGATACCCGAGTTGGGTATGATTCTAAAGTTGCTGCCAAACAAACAGTCACGTGTGGCTTTATACTAGTACTTGTGTCTAAACTTACTACTCCGAGTATTCCTGTGATATGTATACACTTGGTCACGCAACGTTCCTAGATCTTGGGTCAGCAAGCCCTATAACTGGGTGTTGAGTACCCTGTCATGACTCCGAGCTAGCTCGGTTGCAAGACTTGCCTCGACAAAAAGTCCGAACATCAATAAGTATTATCCTGCTATTGCTCTCCGTTGCCCCATACATCTGACCAACACCTTCCTCGTGCTCGCGCTAATCCAGTGCTACTGCCACGACTTACCACAGTATGCTTCGACCTCCTGCACCTTCCTGTCGTCCTCAACCTCCTGCACTTCTACAACCCCCACGCTCCAAGGGCAACATCCTGCAGCCTCCCGCTACCCTGGCACGCCAATACAGATCCTTCCTCGCCCTGCCGTGAACCTGGTGTTGCACACCTGACCGCAATCTTTCTCGTGCTACTGCTAACCTGTCGCAGTCTCCCGTTGCTCGCTTCGACCCCCGCACCCCCTTGTCATCCTCGGGGTCTCGCGCAGCCGCCTGCGATATCTTGTGCTTTCCCTGGTTGGCATCCAGGTTCTGTGCCCTTTATTATGTTCCCTTCATGCTACCCATGACTATATCTATTGGAGTCAAGCATCTATGGTCCCATAGATGTTCCTCGAGGGAACACCTTAATTTGGTTAGTAAAGGGAACAGAGGAACACGAAGACCAATATTCTGTGGGAAAAGAGGGAACACCATGTCTTTATTTGGTTAGGCAAGGCACGAGGGAACACAGGGTTAGTGGGAACAGAGGAACATTATGTGTCATACTGTGTGGGAAAGAGGGAACACGGGAACATTATGTGTCACAATCTGTGGGAAAGTGGGAACACAGGAACATTGTCTGTGAGAAAGAGGGAACACATTCTTTATTTGGTTATGAAAGGCACGTGGGAACAGAGGAACATCATCTGTGAGAAAGAGGGAACACAGAAACGCTGTCTGTGGGAAAGTGGGAACAGAGGAACATCATCTGTGAGAAAGAGGGAACACATGGTCAGAGTCAACAGGGGGACATCATGTCTCATAATTTGTGGCAGGGGGGGAACACATTCTTTCTGTGGCCCTTAATTCACTGACCTTATTTACTCACCCCAGATTTTTCCTCCCTCATCTCTCTTGGCTCTATTCTCCCCATCTGACTCCATCCCCAGCCCTCAATAAGCTAGTATTTTATGTATATATTTCTATCAAAACATGATCTAATGATATTTTCACCCAGAACATAATGTTCCTGAGGCCCTGCAGGAAGTGTGCTGATACAGCATGAAAGAAGGAGGTGCTCACCACACCCACGAACACATTCTGTAAATTGTATAATTTGTCTGATAGACTGACCAACCTACTACTGCAGGCAGAAGTTGGCAAATGTCAATGCAAATCTTATTTGTACTGCAAGCAAATGATCAGGAAGGGCAGGGGGCATACCATCAGCAAGGCGTGAAAAAGGCTATTAACTGTATGCTTCATAGATCACTATCTATAGACTGTCATCCGCAATGAAGGATGTTTGGCACCCAAACATGATAGAACCACACTTTAATTGCTGAGTGTCCTAGTCCAATGCATTACAAACAGGATAACAAGCATTGTTAATATAACATGGCCATGTGGTGAGTATCAGACTTAATACATCATCCTTACAGGATCTTGCGCTAGTACTTCCCTTTGGTGTGTTCCATTACAGCGACCCCCACCATGTCAAGTCTGATCTGCCCTCTGTACTCTATACGATGACAGGTTCTCCCCAACATCTTTGCAGCCTCCATATTAATGTAAACCTCCACACTTACCTATGGTGCATGATAGCCCACTTGCCATGCCATGTCAAACCTCATCTATGCCGCATCACTGCCTCGTCAAGTGCCGCGACAAATCCCACCTGCACCTCAACAATTTTAGCTGTAAGTGCAACTTGGGTATTGCTTCACTACACACCAGCTACTGTAATTTTTTTTCTCATTTCTGCTTGCCTGTGCATGGCTCAGTCATATTTTATATTGTTATCCTGTCAGATTCATTTACAGCAGTAATGAAAAGAAACTACTTTCCCCATCTCTCTTTCTTCACTCCTGTGTGAAAACAATGTGCAAACATCGCAACAATTTCACACCATAGACAGTGCTGTGTACAGTTGACTGTGTGTGAATGCATCTGTATGAAAGTCGAGCATAGTATGTTGGAGAGTCAGTCCACGGCGGCCATTGATCATTGTTGCATGTGCAGGCCATTATGGAAATTGTTTATGGTTGACGGTCCAATTGGAACACTCACGCTCAGCGAAACCCGACAATTTAGAGGTTGATCCGTGAAGATATGCGTTAGAGTACAAATTGAGGTGGATACAAATCTAATATTCTGCTCCGCGGAGCACGGGGCGGACTCCCGGCGCGCCGCGCGCGCGCGCTCGACGCCTCGTTTTAGTGCGGCGCGCTCAGCCACAAAAATCTTCGCAGGTTAAAAATGACCCTGGGGGGAGATTCGACCAAATCGTGGGAAAATGCCTTTTTTGGAAAACAAAAAAAAAAAAAAAGGTCATAGACCTCATCTCAGGGACCCTCCCACAACTTGTGGTTCCTTGAGGTGTGAAGATTTGAGTGAGATATGGCCAAAACAAGCCACACCCACCTCTGTGACATGCCACCACCAAGGTCATGGTGCATGCCCACCAAAGTCATGGGCGCGCCACCAAAAGCAGATGGCGCGCCACCACCAAAGTCATGGGGCGCGCCACCAAAAGCAGATGGCGCGCCACCACCAAAGTCATGGGGCGCGCCACCAAAAGCAGATGGCGTGCCACCACCAAAGTCATGGGCGCGCCACCACCAAAGTCATGGGCGCGCTACCAAAAGCAGATGGCACGCCACCACCAAAGTCATGGGCGCGCCACCAAAAGCAGATGGCACGCCACCACCAAAGTCATGGGCACGCCACCAAAAGCAGATGGCATGCCACCACCAAAGTCATGGGCACGCCACCAAAAGCAGATGGCATGCCACCACCAAAGTCATGGGCGCGCCACCAAAAGCAGATGGCGCGCCACCACCAAAGTCATGGGTGCACCACCAAAAGCAGATGGCGCGCCACCACCAAAGTCATGGGGCGCGCCACCAAAAGCAGATGGCGTGCCACCACCAAAGTCATGGGCGCGCCACTACCAAAGTCATGGGTGCGCCACCAAAAGCAGATGGCATGCCATGGGTGATGTTCAAGTCCCACAAGAAACAGCAAAACCCTTAAGATAAACTTCAAGAAAGTCTCCAAAGTGTGGGAAGAAATTTCCCAAATCAGAACCCAAAATTAAAGTTGTAGCCAATGTCCCTACAAACACATCTGTGGTGGTGGCTAAGCTTGATGATGTAATCTGATGGAGATATTCCAAAAATAGGTGAAAAACATCGGTGCATTTGAGCCAAGTCAACCCTAAGGGATAAGTCATCATAAGGAAAGTCAAGGATAAGCATACAATAAGGATAAGTAAGGAAGAATGTCGACCATAAGGATAAGGATAATGTAACCAGTCAAGGAATAAGGAAAGTGTTACTAGTCAAGGATAAGGATAAGGATAAGGAAACAGCCTAGTTGTCAAATCACAGGAACAAAAATACAAATTAGGAAGTCGCCAAAGTCAAGGATAACAACAGATACCACATAAACCTCCTGGTTTTGAATGTGCAGGTGATGGTGGTCTTTGCCTTGTCACGCTGTCCTACTACTTAATGAAAACTTTTCCCAGGCAACAGGTAAGCTGTGCCTAGGCACGCTCCCAGGGCTCAGAAGTGAACAGGGAGTGTTCTATGTACGTAAGTGATGTAATGTAAGGGTCCATGATGGAATAATATATCGTATGATGCCAGACATGGGAATAAATGGAAAGGGACACACTATGGGACTGGTTGGACGATGGATGAAGGCTCCAGGATGCTGTGCGACAAAGTGTAACTGAGTGTGGGAAGAGCATGCTAAGTGTGTGCACAGGAATGCATCACATAGTGCAGGAAAGCATTGCACCTCTGGCACATTTCACAGGAAAGTCATAGAGGGTAAGTTGTGCACTGTACCAGTCGTCATGAATCGTAATATGTGCAATATATGCCTGGAGGGATCTCGTTCTCTACACTGCACCACTGCAATTCAGTAAAACCAGCAGCAAGCATCTGCTCAGAGCATTTTGCCACTGCAGAATGTTTTCAAGAATCTTTAGCAAAGCAAGAGTGCCTTTGTTGATGTTTGGCAGTTGCAGTTGTACCTGCATCTCGATCCAGGATAATAAGCAACAACTTCAAAAAGAGGGAAGTTGTTGCTGGGCCGTTGGAAGTCAGGCAGGTAAGTGCCTGTAAAATAACAACTTGAATTGAGAGTTGATGGGAGCATTGACACTATGGACCTCCAGTACTGAACATTGTAATGCTTGATCATGAACTGAGCTCTGCAAGACTGGAAAAGAAGACCTCACATATGTCAACATTTAAGCACCTTCCAATCTTCTGTACTTGTCATGCTGTTGGACAGGAACCTAACCATCCATCCATGCTCTTTCTCCCAATCATCTGAACTGCCATAAAGCATCCATATGGCATTGGCACATCAGTCACATCAAGTTATGGGCACTGAAGAAGGAAACACACCATGTGTGGGTAGATAAAATTGGAAGGATAGAACACCTCATGAAGAGCATGAGATAGAATCAACAATGTAAACAAAGGCAACTGTAAGGGAGGACCCACTCTCCCAGCTGCCAATCTTCCACAGGAACATAGTGACCATCATGTGCATGCAATGAGCCTAGCCTGACAGTCTGATGAATCAATATTCCAAATGATCAATTCAAAATGTACTCTTGATGCTTATCAGCCTCATTGCAGCATCGCCATGAGGAATGCCAGTGTTTCCCCCTTTCTAAGCATTCAGATATTCCTCATCAACCTCCCACTTGACATCAGCAAACTTCTCCTGAAAGGGTTGACCCATGGATACTCGCAGGTAGTATGTAAGAACATTGGTGCAAAAATCTCACTAGGCTGCTGCATCACACTGTTGATTATGCATCCAGGTCATTTGAAAGAAACAGACCAAGTTTCTGCACCCAGCAACCTACACCTGATGACTGCCCAGCCTCCACTGTATGGATTCTGAGAAGCTGTCATATCCCATATGCCAGACATAGATCCCATCATATTCCCACGCTTTCCGGACCTGTTTCTGGACCCCATATCCAACTCATTCCTGGATCCCCTATCCTGTCCACCCTACGCACATTCCGTCCAGCAAGACATCTGGACTTTACCTCCTCTTGGATTCTGGACTACACCCACCACCTCACATATCTCAGTCCTGTTTCTGTCCTGCCTTCTAGATCCCCAGATCTCCAGACCTCCGGATATTAACTGTACTATCTCTGGACCTATTCCCACCCTCTGTCTGAGATCCTGCGCCTATCCCCATTTAGGCATCTCCACCTTTCCAGTTCTCGGTTATCTCTGTTTCCATCTTGCTGATTGATCCCTATACTAGTTTCATCTCCGAGTTCATTTACTTATGTTCCGTCTTACTTACCAATGTGTTTCCGCATGCTCGTACATAGCCTTACTCCTTTGCTTACTGATCCTCTCAGATAGCCTCTAGTATATAACCCCTGTACAACTACAGTAGAGTCCTCAGTCTGAATATCATCTTAGTTCCTGTTCATCACCTTAGATCTGCCCAATCATCTTCTGGACTTCAGTCCATCTGAGTCTTGTCCTTTTCCATAAGGCCTAGGGAAGGATTCCCTAGGCCAGAATTCTGGACCTCCGGATTTGTCCCCTATGTCTCTGTCCCAAGTCTAGGGATTGCTTCCCTAGGCTAGAGTCTTGCCTTTCCAGCACTTACCCTCTTTCCAGACTTAGTTCCACTTCCTGTCCCTCTGACTCTACCTTAGGGTAGTCTACCTCTGTTTGCTTCTACATCGGACTTTGTCCGATGTAGCCCCTATTCCTTCCAGACCTCCAGACCTCCTGTCCTCTGTACCTCTGGATGTCCTGTCCCTCATACCTCCGGGTGTCCTGTCCTTCAGACGTTCCGCCCTCTGTACCTTCAGATGTTCCGTCCTCCATACCTCTGGATCTCCTGTCCTCCATACTCCGGACCTCCGGACATCCTGTCCTCCATACTCCAGACCTCCGGACATCCTGTCCTCCATACTCCGGACCTCCGGACCTCCATACTCCAGACCTCTGGACCTCTGGACCTCCTATCCGTCCATCCCATTTTCCTGTAGAAGTATTACCTTGCAGCGGGAACTCTCCCACGCTCCTCCGGACGTTTCCCACGCTCCTCTGGAAGTCCTCCTGCACTCTCCACCAGAGTAGCCAGCCACCGGAAGTCCTCCAGACTTCATCGGACCATCATCGGACTTCCTCTGAAATGAAGGGCACATACTCAGGTAAGGGGCACAGCGTACGAGCTGAGGCCAAGCCCCTCTGAGTCAGTCTCTCTCTCCTTTGAGCATGGTTCTTAACAGAAGCTTTATAGCTTGGCAAATGCATTCCCTGACATTTTTGAGATGGGAACTCTGTCAAATAATCTAAGATGTTTGAATTTAAAATGCTGACGCTACACCCATTAGAATGATGGCTCACATTGCCAATGCCACTGGGGTGGTAGAGCTTGGAGGTGATGATGATGTTGTTGATCATGCTGCTGGCAAGGATGTTCAGCCTGCCAGGGTGAGCCAAGCATGAAGAAGCAAACACACCCTCCAAGAGTTAATTCACAAAGGTAGGCCAACCTGTGTGACCAACCTGGCCCAAAGCCAGTGCTTCCTTGTAAGCATTAATGACCAGTTGAGATGGTGAACATGGGAAGATAGCAAGCAGGGCCTGCAGTTTGTGCTGTTAGTTGTGCAGGGCTGTGGATGGAAACCGAACACGCAATGATGAGTCCAGAGAAAGAATTAACTGAAATGTGTAGCAGGATGCTCAAGATGCTCTGCTAGGCTCAATCTTGAAGGCATGGTGTGCCAGGATCTAGCTCAGATCTAAACAGCGCTCCACACACATCAAGCCAGAATGAGCTGGAGGGTGTGCTGGATCTAGCTCAGATCTTAAAGGCATGCCACACACCGGGATCTAGCTCAGATCTAAATGGCACTCCAAGCATCAAAACTGGAGTGTTATGGCCATGGAATGAGAGCTGGAAAAACTGCAGCGGCGGGTTGGTGGGAAGGTTTTCAGCTGTGTGTGGATGGTGAGAGTTGCTAATAACAACAGTTTTATGTAATTGACAACTGTCTGATCCAGTCTTGACTATGCATAAAGCTTTAAACTGACCAAGGTACTCTTCCGAGGACATCGACCAATGCTACACCATTAAAGGACACATGTGGTGACAATTTTTTCCAAGTGGCTCTAGTAACAGTAACCACACAGCTGGGATCTGAGGGCCAAAGGATGATCAATGATCCCCAGTAAGAACTGGTTATGACGGGAGAGGACCGTAAGTGTCGGGAGGTGTTGATGAAATGAAAATACCAGACGCGCACATTCCGCTTACAAAGTGGGACAACCAGCACATTTTCGAAGTGCTGCTGTAAGATCTCTCGTGCTCTTGTATGTTTTTTTCCGCATATGCACATCAGAATCACCTTAGAGCATATAGTTAGCTTGAGATGTGTTCTTGGGTGACGTTTTTCAGGGCACATATCTTCTCCCACTTCTTCTCGTGCACTGAGTATTCGTCCATCAGCGACTGATTGTATCGTCGTAGTGCAGCAAGTCAATGTTGCCCAGATGCAACAACGATGGGATCAAGATTGTTCATCTCGAGTTCGACGATCTCTTCTGGTTCATCGAAAGTCTTGGTGAGTTTCTTCGCATCCTTCAGACGCAATGTCTTCATGATCAGCGGTATCGCGGATATCTCCTTCATTGATACTATACCATACTTCTCGAAGCACTCTACTAACCTCTTCATTTCAGTCTCATTCTCGGGCCTGTCATTGTACACTCCAAACTTCAGCCTTCCTGCAATTGCAAGAAGATCGACCCAGGCAATCCCCACTTTGCATTTGGCCACCTGGTTGTCGAGCTTTTGCGTTTCTTTCGCAAGGTCTGTCTTCGGAATCGTCACTTCGATGGGTCGGTCATTCATATGCAATACCGACGCCTCATCCTCCTAATCAAATTCAATCATTTCCCAACGTTATCAGTGAGTCTTCCTTCGAATTCTTTAATGATCTACACTTACTTTAGCTTTCTTTCCTCCTCCTCCCCTGGCTTTTTTCACTGGCATCCACTTTGTCGACTGGGTGACAAGGTATGGCAATGTGTTGGTAGCTGAACTAATGATAGATTTTAATCGATAATCAACTCACTGATTTTTCTACTCCCCCTTGCCCTTCCGCGCCCTCCCTTGCCTCATGGCTGATTATTCATGTCCGCAAGCATCACATGTGTAGACCACGTGACAAGGTCTAGTGTGTCATCGACTGTCTGCTGTTGCTCATCCGCACATCCGCAGACCTATACAAAGTATGTCTGTTTATCAATACATATTATGTTGATGTGTTATCGTAGTTCAAATCCTTTGTGGTCCGCCGTTGCTCATGTGTATATGCGCGGCCCTCTATGCAAATCAATCAATGTAGATACCATGTATATATCAGTATATACTATACTTGCAATATAATTCATGTAATGTCCGCCCTCGCTACATGGTCTATCCGCAGACCTGCATACAAATCAATGTAGATATCAAATCTTAGGTGTAGAAATCACTCTTTTATAGGGTTGTTTTACCATTTATGTAGGTAAATTTAAATAGAACACCTGACCATTTTGTGTTTGGGGGCCTTGGGGCTAACATAACCATAGATATAACCGAACCCCTGTACAGTTTCTATATATAATGGTGCTTCAGAGTCATAAACCACCCCAAGTCATATGACTTGCATGGATGGACCTCAGGCTCATTACTGAGGTCATTGAACTCATATGCATCAAGCAGCAACAGCCATTTCATCTGTCAAAGTCAAGTTCCAAAGTTGCTTCCCTGTATCCAAATTGACCGCTTTTGCTTATGTAAGCAGAGTCGCCCCTGTCATGCTGCCTCACCCAATGATTGATTTTTTCAGCCTCCATGTGACTTGCCTGGCTTCAAATAGGACTTTGTACAAAGGTTATTGAACCATCTGAATGCAATGGCGATGCTCATTTCCTCAAAAAAAATCATGTTTCAGAGTTGTGGTACCCTCTCCCCCTGCCTACTCCACCAAAAGGCATGATTTTATGTTGATGCTGATGTGCAAAATAGTGTTCCTACTGTTTGATTATCATGCAAATGGATTGGAGTTGATTTCTGAGTGTTTTGAACCAATATGAATTGTGATGTGTGAGTTTGCCTGATACCCCCTCTCAAAGATCGATTTTTCTAGGCTTCCCATGACTTGCCAGGACTCCAGGAGTATTCTTCCTGGGGGTTATTGAACCCTCTGAACACGATGGTCGAGCTGGATTTCCCAGAAAAAATCGCGTTCTTGAGATATGCAAGGTCCCCCTCCCCCCCTACCTCCCATATCTTGATATTATGTAAATACCAATATATAAAAGACTGTGCCTGGTGTTTTTCGATCATACAAATCGATTGGGAATGGTCCCAGAGTGGCTTGAGCCTGTCTGAAATGAAATATGTCAGTTTTGCTGACACCCCCTACAAAGATCGATTTTTACAGACTTCCCATGACTTGCCAGGACTCCAAAAGCATTTTTCCCGAGGGCTCTTGAACCCTCTGAACACGATGGTCGAGCCAGATTTCTTAGAAAAAATCACGTTCTTGAGATGTGCAAAGTTAGGGTTAGAGTTAGGGTTAGAGTTAGGGTTAGAGTTAGGGTTAGAGTTAGGGTTAGAGTTAGGGTTAGGTAGGTTAGGGTTAGAGTTAGGGTTAGAGTTAGGGTTAGAGTTAGGGTTAGAGT